TGCATCTAGAAAATTGAAAAATATTTCTATTGTTTATTAATTTTGTCTCCATTTATGCTTAATGATGTCTTAAGTATTTATCTCCCTTCCTTTGAGATATCCTTGAATACAAAATTATTTTACCACCCACTAGTCCCCAACGATATTGGTGTGGCTTCTTTTTCTATGATATACTTATCATAGCATGCTTTCTGCTCTCATATTATATGCCCACCATCATCCATTCATATGAATATGTCAGTTCTTACTGGGTGATAACGCATACCTCTAAAACACAGTAGCTTGAAACAACTATTATTTCTTTGCCCAATGAAACTGTGAGTCATTACCATGGGGCTAGGCTCAGAGGGCAGCCCTCTAGGTCTTGCTGAGTTCATGTTTCTGTGGTCAGCTGGGACAATTGCTCAATATTCTCTGTCCTCATCTAGAATATTAGTCTGAACTCATGCATTGGAAGCAGAACAGGTCTGCGTGCTGCACAAGGGCAAGTCTGGTGCTTCTCAAATCTCTGCATTTATGTATCTCTATTATCATCTTTGGAAACACTCCATTAACCAAGTAATGCACATAGCTAACCCAGACTATGGCAAGTCTGTCTCTCGATAGGAGGCTATCCCTGCCTTGCAGGCTTCTCTGACTGGACTCCACTGCTCCAACCTCTCCTGTTGTCATGTTCATTGTCCTTAATCACTGCTTTCATCCTATTACAATCCTTGTTTCACAAGCCCACTCCCACCCCCACTGCCGCCAGACTCGTTCTTTTCCTAATTTAGCTGCTATAGCTTTCAGAGAGCGCAATGAAGTGATCTGGCCTAAAACCAGAGGCTCAACATGAAGGAAGGCAGGCCAGCATGGTCAGGGAGGGCTGTGTGCTTGTCCCTGCTCAGTCATTAACAAAATTTTTTGTTGAATGTATTTTAGATTTTTTTTATGTGTATGAATGTTTGCCTGTGGGTACATATACGGACCATGTGCTTGCCTGGTACCTAAGGAAATCAGAAGGAGGTTTCGGATCCCCTGGAACTGAAGTTTGGATGGTTGTAAAACACCATGTGAGGCTGGGAATAAAACCTGGGTCCTCTGAAAGAGCAACAAGTGCTCTTAACCACTGAGCCATCTCCCCAGCACCACCAAAAAACTTTTTTTTTTTTTTTTTTTTTTTGGTTTTTCGAGACAGGGTTTCTCTGTGTAGTTTTGCGCCTTTCCTGGAACTCACTTGGCAGCCCAGGCTGGCCTCGAACTCACAGAGATCCGCCTGGCTCTGCCTCCCGAGTGCTGGGATTAAAGGCGTGCGCCACCACCGCCCGGCACCAAAAAACTTTTTAACCACTCTGCACTTAGTTTCTTTGTCTACAGTACGAAGGAGTTTGTGCTCGTCTACAGTACGAAGGAGTTTGTATTACATCTGTGTGGTTCTTTGAAAACTCAAGGTCTCAGTGTATCTATAGCTCCATAAATAAGCCATCTTCTCTACTCAGACCAGCTTCTTCTTTTCCCTGGTTGTTGTTCTTTTACTTTCTTTGCTGCTCATTTTTGTTTTATCCTTTATCCTATGTATTTATTTTTGAGACAGTTTCATGTAGCCGAGGATGACTTTGAACACATGATCTGCCTGCCTCTGCTTTCCAAGCACTGGAATTACAGACATGCACCATGGTTGTGTTGAGGGCTACTTATCCCTCTACTTGCTAATATCTGCCATCTGTGTTGTCACGGAATTACATTGTCTCTGGTACAGTTTGGTGTTTCCCCTGCTTACCAACCATATTATAACTTCATTGAGGCGAGAGACTCGTGTTTTATGCATCTAAGCACATAGTAGACATCAAGTAAATATTTGCAGATGTAGCTTCCATTTCCAGCCCAGGTCACAGGAACCAGGAGCTGGCTGAAAACTTAGAGAAGCAGGGGTGAGGCTGCTTTAACAGACGTGGCGGTGGGTGGTGAGGAGGGTGGTTTGTTAAGTGCACCCGAGGTAGTATGTACATATCAGAACAGAACCTCCAGTCCTCTAGCCATGGTGTGACACCGGTTTCTCTGTTTCTTATAGTTGTCATCTGTAAGCTACCGCCATGACTCTGACGAAAGGTTCCTTCACGTACTCCAGTGGGGAGGAATACCGTGGCGAGTGGAAGGAGGGTGAGAAGGGCCCCTGGGGCAGCCTACTTCCTGGATCTTCATTCCTCACTGCAGCACTCAGCTCCACATAGAACCTGTCCCTTATCTCAGCGCTTAATGAAGGAACTCGGAATGAGTTCAGTGAAATGCGTTCTGTCTTCCCACTTCTGGACTCAGAGTGCTTTAACACCGGCTGTCTGTCATTTAAATGTGAATGTACCCAGAGGAGCAAATGAGTTCTTTTGGGTGCAAATTAGCGAGTTTAGGATTCACTGCAATGACTTCATTGCAATGAGTCTTCAGAAGTTAAGGAAGATCTGGGAATTAATGAAGCCACTCAAGAACAAGTGACATTCCTTGCCCTGAGCTTTTTTGACAGCTTTTTATGCTTGGAAGTAATCTAGTCTTAGGAAGAGCAAAGTTCTTTGGAGCCGTGAACTACGCTAGAAATTATACCAGAAGCAGTGTAATGGTTCAGTTTGGAAACTCAGCCTGGACACTTTAGAGTCTCACAGGTTCAGTCCTAGCAAGCCAAGAAACTGCCCAATGAGACCGGCCTTTCCACACTCAGAGGTGAAAGGCAGTTCACACTGTGGCCGGGCCTGTGCCCCAAGGAGACCGGGCTTTCCATACTCACAGAGGTGAAGGGTAGTTCACACTGTGGCCAAGCCTGTGCCCCAAGGAGACTGAGCTTTCTACACCACAGAGGTGAAGGGCAGTTCACACTGTGGCCAGGCCTGTGCCCCAAGGAGATCGGGCAGTTTTTTTTGTGTGTGTGTGTGTGTGTGTTTTTTGGTTTTTCGAGACAGGGTTTCTCTGTGTAGCTTTGCGGAAGGGCAGTTTTTTGTGGGTAAGGTTATGGAAAGTGTGAACTGCTAAGCCAGTGAGAAGGGACCCTGGATCTGCCTCATTCCAACCTGGTCCCTGTCCTTCTCTTTGCTCAGGACGGAGACATGGTTTTGGTCAACTGATGTTTGCAGATGGTGGCACCTACCTGGGTCACTTTGAGAATGGGCTCTTTAATGGCTTTGGAGTACTGACCTTCTCAGATGGCTCAAGGTAAGTATTAGGTCATTCCTTTCTCAGTCTTTGAACTAGTGAGACTCTGATAAAAAAACATGGGGCATTGGTGATTGTCTGTTCAGCCCTGAGCTTGCCCAGGCCCTAAAGAAAACAGACAAGGGACAAGCAGTTCTTTCATTGATTACTTTGATTTCAACTTAACTTTTATTTATTTGGAAGGTGCACTACAGCACATGTGAAGGTCAGAGGAGCAGGTTTCCACCATGTGGGTCCCCAGGATTTAACTCAGGTCATCAGGCTTGGAGACAGGTTTCTTTTGTCTACTAAGCCATCTTGCCAGCCCTTATTATCTTAAAATAAACATAAGGTCCAAGCATGGCGGCATATGTCTATAATCCCAGTTCTGGGGAGGCAGAGGCAAGAGTATCTTGAGTTTGAGGCCAACCTGGGCTACACTGCAACACTCTGTCTCTAAACAAAACAAATATATCAAATTAAATAGATGTGAAATTGGAAATGGCAAAGAGGTGCGTGACCTTCTACTTTACCTCTGTTCACTTAGATTCTTTCCTGGAATTAAGACCTCATATATATGTCTTCTGACCCTCTCTGCTGCTGGGGAATAGTGTTAAGTGGTACAGGTAGAGCTCTGGGATGGGCAGAATGAGCTTTGCTCTGCATCTTGACTAACGCACACTGGAAACGGCTTCCCTCGGTTACCCTGGACAGCTAACCCACCCACTAAAGGCTAACTAACATCTTGGTGTCTCTGCAGGTATGAGGGGGAGTTTGCCCAGGGCAAGTTTAATGGCGTCGGAGTTTTCATTCGATATGACAACATGACCTTTGAGGGGGAATTTAAAAATGGCAGAGTAGATGGTTTTGGTAAGTTTCAGCTCGGCAGGATGGAAATTTAGTGTCACGTGGGCGGAAGCACTCCTTAATCTTAATTCTTCTGTGACTCTCCTGAAATCTGTCGTGACCATGTCCCTCACTTTCCTCTTCTTCAGCCTCTCTGTCCATCGAGCTGACCTGAAACGTTAAAGCCTTCTCATTCTCTCTCCTCCAAGGCTTGCTGACTTTCCCTGACGGTTCTCATGGAATACCCCGCAATGAAGGTCTGTTTGAGAACAACACGCTGCTGCGGCGTGAGAAGTGTTCTGCTGTGGTTCAGCGGGCACAGAGTGCCTCCAAGTCAGCCAGGAATCTCACTGCCTGATGGAGCTTTGGGCACAGCTGGAAACATCCCTTGTACGCGTGCGGGAGGTGAACAAATGAACCGGATATGAGATGAGAATGACCGTGGTGCCACAGCCTGTGAGGTGCTCTGTCACCCGCCAATCAGGAGTTCAGTCGCAGAAAAGCTTGGAGGATTTTGGCCCCAAGACCCTGGAGCAGTCCGTCCTTCCCTGACCCTTATGTGCTCAAGAATAGGGGCCGCCCTTGCTTCCTTGCTGTTACTGTGTTTCTAAAGCCTTGTACCCAGTGCTGTGGCCTTCTCTCTCTGTGCTGTCAAACCATATAGAATCTCTTCACTCCACCCACCCTTATGGCAGATGATCCTGGCTTCAACTTAGGGCCAGTCCTGTGTGCTGCCAGGGAGAAATCAGGAAAAAGACAGGGGTGACTTAGACCACAGCCGCTCTATAAAGCCCAGGCCAGAGCTTCTCTGTGTGTTACCCTCTCATTCACTGCATTTGAGGCCTGGCTCCAGGCTGGTCTCTGTGTCTTCTTAGTCCCCCTCAATGTAAGAAGAGTGTGGCTTTCTTCTCCCTCAACTTTACAGTAAACTGTCTTCCTTACCTGAGTTACCGCAGATAGCCCAGTCCCCATCTGTGCCTCTCTCTCCCTTAGATGTCTGGCAGGATCCCTTCATAGAACAGCCAAATAAGAAGCTAGTGTAAGAGTAACTATGACCTGTATTCATTATTCAATCCAGGGCAAGGGGCAGGCCTATCCAGGCCTGCTGTGGAGTGACCTGGACCCCAGGAAGGCTTGCACTGACAGCTCCTTCCCAGTGCATCGGTGGATCAGATTCACAGCCCCTTGGGTGTCGGAAGACTCGGATCCCTCCGAGTGTGAACTGACTGGCATTGGCTCCTCCATTTTACTCGTGAATCTTCCAGAGCCTTGGCCCTCGAGCTTGGGACAGATCTTCCTGCCAAAAGGAAGATCTTCCATCCCAAGGTCTCCAGTTAGCCTAGGTCCCTCCCCACAGCCCCAGCTCCCACCCTCAAATCTCCCTCATTATAGCTGTGTGCCTCTATTTATTCTCTGAACTGTACTGTAGAAATAAGTGTTTATAGGAATAAACCAGTCACCACAACTGCCTACACTTAGTGTTCATGACTTCCTGGACTTGGGCCTCAAGAATATCAAGCAAAAAAGAATATTGCTTTTTGTGGAAACCAAACAGAGAGGTACTTGGAGCTAACACTGAACACTTGGCTGCATGATGTCACTGTTCCTCAGAACCCCTGTGGTGAGCTGGAGAGAGAGGCCAGTCAGTGAAGTGTCTCCGTGCACACATGAGGACCTGAGTTTCCTCAGCACCTATGGAAAAAGCTGGGCATGGTCGTGCATGCTTCTACTCCCAAGTCTAGAGATTCAAAGAGAGCGTTATCTCTGGGACTGACTGTCCAGCCAGCCTAGCCTAGCCTAATTAGCAGGTCCAGGTACCAAAATGGACAGCTTTTGAGGAACACAGGAGGCTGATGCATGGCTACACACACACACACACACACACACACACACACACACACACACACACACACTGTGGAGTAGAAGGAATGAAGATTTCAAAACCAGCAGGCTAAGGTTGTCCAGGCTGGTAAATGGCAGGGCTGGATGGAGTTTCTCTATCCTACTGTTTCTGATCCCAGCTCCCTTTCACTGGATTGAGCATCAATGGATACAAGCTCCAAGACCAGTTATTGCCAGACCTACTGGGCGACCTCTAACAAATTAACTCCTGCCCATATTTCCCCCTTTTTTTGCACCCAGTAGTAGAACATTCCCACCATGCTAGCTCATTTATTTATGGTTCTTACCTCAGTTTTCCCCATAGCTCTGGGAGAAAGGTATATTATAGCCAAGATTTGGGGAAAACAGAGGGTTACCCCAAGGCCCCACAGACACCAGGGGTCCCAGAACTTAAACTCAGGGCTAGACAGCTTTCTAGGCTGCCTCTTTCGGGCCTAGATTTTTCCCATCAGCCCTAAACCTATTCTGTAAGCCCCACTGCTCCAGAAGGTGACTATAAAAGCAGCCCAAGAGCCAACTTGTGAAGTCATGAGAACCTGGTTTTGAGTTCCCAGCACCCACATAAAAAGCCAGATGTGGTTGCTGCATGCCTGTCACCCCAGCACTGGAGAATAAAAACAAGCAGATCCCAGATACTTGCTGCCAGCCAGTATGACCAAAATGGCAAACTCCAGATTCAACAACAGACCATGTCTGAAAAATTAAAGTGGAGTGCGGTAGAGCAGAGCTCCCTAACATCAGTCACTAGTTGCCACACTGCCTGCATTAGTAATTGCACATATGCATACACAATAAAAAAAAAGTCATTAAGTTTTCCTAGGCTACCACTCTAATAGTGGGCTGTTTGCTTGGAATTACTAAGGCTTCTCTCAGTGATAAGGCTGATCCTACAGACTCCACTGCCTTTAGGAAGGTCCTTGGCATCTGGCCAGAAAATCTACTGTATTGGCTTTCAAGTTTCACTTGTTATATTTTATTATAGTAACAAGGTGATCTGCTTTGATAATAAAAGTAGAGTGGCTTCAGACAAAAGCATGGTCCTATCTCAGTCCAAGTCTCCAAGATTCATACCTGGGCTGGTCAGTCTTCTAGAGTGTATGTAGACCGGGTGTCTATCCACCAGGTGTCATTATTTACTAACGTGACAAGGCACTGGGCTGTCTTGGACACTCAATGGTGGGGATCAAAATGACATGTGAGTTAAGAAAGGGCACTGTGGCTGGAATTCAGCTTGGAGGCCTTTCAAAAATAAGGAACACATTCTGATCAGGTTTCCTCTGCAGCTGCTGCCTCTGGAAGAAGTCAGAATGTGGATGGTTGGGGCCATCCCTGACTTTCCAGCGATGTCATGCACAATTAAGATTTCTAGCTTCAAATCAGAAGTAACAGCCCCTTCAGGAACCAACTTCCTTGGTTTCTAGCTGCACCTCCTACCTTTTTGCTAGGTTCCCTGGTTCACCCACCTTAGGGCAGAAGAAAGTACCCACAGAAGAGACAAGCAAGAAATTGTCCCTGGTGGAGGGTCTCTAGAGACTCTGTGTAGAATACACATGTGAGAAGCCACAGGCTGAGAAAAGGAGCTAGATGTTGCCTTGAGCTTATGGGAAAGGAGCCTGTTAGTGGTAGAATAGGAATGGCCCCCATAGGCTCATATATTTAAATCTGTAGGGAAAGGCACTATTTGAAAGGATTAGGAGGTGTGGCCTTATTAGAGGACATCTGTCACTGAAGGCAGGCTTTGAGGGTTTCAAAAGCCCAAGCCAGGCCCAGCAGCTTTCTCTTCTTGGCCTGTGGATCCAGATATAGAACTCTCAGCTACTTCTCCAGCACCAAGTAACTCAAACTGCAAGCCCCAAATAAATGTTTTTCTTTAAAAGAGTTGCCATGATCTTAGGGTCTCTTCCCAGTAATAGAAGTCTAAGACAAGTGGGTACCAGGAGAGGGGTATTGCTGTGACAGGCCTGGACCATGCTTCTTGTTGGCAGAATGTGGACTTTGCATTAGGAAAACAGTTGAACACTTGAAGTGGGACTTAACGGGCCATCCTCATAGGAGCATGGAAGACAGTGGTGCCCAGAGCAATGTAGATTATGATGGCCCAGCTCAAGAGGCTTCAGGGAAGAAGTATATTATTAAGTGGCCCAGAGACTGTTCTTGTGATATTTTGTTGAAAAATGTGGTTGCTTTTGGCCCTTGTCTAAAAAAAATCTGCCTGAGGCTAAACTGAAGAGTTTTCTATTAATGGCATTGGCAGAGGAGATTTCCAGACAGCCTAATTTTGACTGTGTCATGTGGTTATTAGTGGCAAGTCTTATGCAGATCTAAAAAAGGAGAGCAAGGGAAAAATATAAAATGTACAGGTTGAGGGGAAAAAGAGCACCAGGGAGTCTAATGGAGCGAAGTCCAGGGCTCAAGGAGACAGAAAGTTTAAAGAAAATCCTGATGCTAATTGGAATAAAGGAAGTGGTGACCTCAGGGCAAGATCCCACCCTGCTGAGCTTTCAACTTATGAAACATAGTTAAGAGTTTACACAGTAAAGGAAACCATCAAAAACAGAAAGTTATTGAAAATGTATTTGAATAAGGGGGCCAAGTTCTAGCCCCATCAAGCAGCAGAACTTGGCAGCTTCAGCCACATGGTTCTGACTTTAGAGTCAAGAATACAAGAAGCGGGTTGTGGAATCTCCCTCCACACCTAAGGAAAACCACTGAGGCCAGACGTGTCAAGAATGTCCCTGCATGGAGGCCCAGGGAGGCCATTGCATGAAGGTGTGAAAGTGAAGCCTGGATTGTCTTGGAGACCCCAAGACGTTGGGGAATGCCAGAACTGTGGGATACCTGATGAGGAGAGCTGCTAACAGGAAGTGGAACCAGCCTAAGAGAAAGAAGTGTGTGACAGTCAACAAAACTGAAAGGAGTTGGTGATCTGAAGAGTGTTTTGTCATCAGATATGGAGATGCAGAGTTTGGAGTTGGTCCAGCTGGTTTGTGGTCTTGCTTTGGCCCAGTATTTCCCACTATGCTCCCTTTCCACCCTTTTGGGATGGTAATGTATATCCTGTGCCATTGTATGTTGGAAGTATGTGACCTACTTTTTGATTTTGATTTTACACTGGGTTACAGTTAAGAGATTGTCATGCATCTCAGAAGAGACTTTGAATTTTGAACTTTTAAGCAGTTTTGAGACTATGATAGATTATGGGAACTTTTGAAGTTGGACTAAATGCATTTTGCATTATAACATGGCTATAAGCCTTTGGGGGCCAGGGAGTGGAATGTGGTGGTTTGAATAAGAATGGTACCCATAGGCTCATACATTTAAATGCTTAGGGAATGGCACTATTTGAAGTAATTAGAAGGTATGGCCTTATTGGAGGGAGTGTGTCACTGAAGGTGGGCTTTGAGGTTTTCAGAAGCTCAAGCCAGGCCCAGTGGCTCTCTCTCTTCCTCCTGCCTGTGGATCCAGATATAGAACTCTCAGCTACTTCTCCAGCACCATGTCTGCCTGCATGCTGCCATGCTTTCCTCCATGATGATAATGGACTAAACCTCTGAAACAGTAAGCCAGCCCAATTAAATACTTTCCTTTATAAGAGTCACCAGGGAGCCGGGCGGTGGTGGCACACGCCTTTAATCCCAACACTCAGCCAGGCGGATCTCTGTGAGTTTGAGGCCAGCCTGGGCTACCAAGTGAGTTCCAGGAAAGGCGCAAAGCTACCAAGAGAAACCCTGTCTCGGGAAAAAAAAAAAAAGAGTCACCAGGGTCATGGTGCCTCTTCACAGTAATAGAACACTGACTAAGACAAGCTCTAATTCCTAATGCCCTGCTCCTCTTCAGGCTGTAGGAACAGAAGTCCCAGACAGCTCAGGTCAGGTGTCTGGGGCTTGTCATCAGAGCCAGCCATTGTTACTGAAATCCAAGCGCAGGGCTTCTTCGTTGGCGGGGCTCAGCTCCTGCAAGGGGGCACGACAGGGGCCTCCATAGTAGCCAAACCAGTCCATAGTTTTCTTCAGTCCTGGGATCCCGAAGCGCCGGGTCACCTGAGAAGAGGCATTTGTTAGAAAGACTGCAGAGCCCCCCACACCTCTGACACACCTACCTGGACCTTGGCATCCACTGCTTCATAAAGTTGGGGTTCCCACCCTCCTGTAAGGAACTATAATCTGTGGTGCAGGTTGCACTGAGAATCCAGATTTGAACACCAGAAGCAGGTCAGTTATGGAGAGACTCAGCCTGAACAAGAAGATTCCTTTTGGGGTTTTAGGAGAAAAACTACTCCAACAAAAGAGGGGTATCCAGCCCTCATGTTTGGATAGAAGGTTGGCCTAGAAGGAGGCAGCAAGGCTGGGGCACCAGAGTCCCACCTGTGCTGGCTCCCCAAAGCACAGCAGACCTGGTTAGCAAGGAAGTAGACGCTCCATGACAGCCTTGGGCATAGACCAGATCCCTAGTCCTCAGCATCAGGGTCCCCCACCCACCTCCGCCTCCCTGGCCCTATTTAAATGGTTTCACAGAAAATAATATACCTCTAGGTTTATTGTATAACCGTACTATTTATTATCTGAGCAACTTCTCTTCCCTAGAAAAATGAAGGGGCTGAACAACATGGTGTCTAAGGGCTTGTGTATTACAGTGGACACCCACAGCTACTGTCACAGTTTAAAAATCATACAGGAAATTCTACAGAATAAATGAAGGATCAGTTTCTTTCCTTTTGTTCTAGCAACTGATCAGACATATTGGAATGAATCTTCGATGACCTAAAAACTAGGAAATAACTCATTACTTAATAAAGCTTCATTTGGAGGGGAGGGGAACCTCAGGGGTATGAGCTTCAAGAAGGGTGGAAGCAAGGGAGTGTTCAGTGGAGAAAGGTGGGGTGGGCGGTGGATAACGGGCTTGCAACTATCCACCACTAGAGGCCAGCCGTCATCAGCAAACTGATGGTTTTCCCACCCAGGATGTCTTAACAGCCTGACTTTTAAAATCTCCGAAGCAGCTTTGTAGTTGGCCAAAACCTCCAGAAGAAGCTGGAACCACGCAGGACCTGGAGAAAACCTTGTTCCTACCATGGCTTCTGAAGCTAGCCGGCGTGCTGCCTCCTCAGCCCTGGAGAGAGGGCTAATTAGCTGTTTGGGTGGCAAAGACCTCAGAAAGTCCTAAATATAGCCTGGGGCAGGAGGCTGGCAGGGTGGGCAGGCAGAAGGAGGACATGCCTTGGACAAGAACATGGCAATAAAGTGACATCAGGCTGCTGTTGGAGTGTCTGAGTCTACAGTTCAGGCGGCAGCATCAAGGTGCTCCAGGCATTCCTGAGTGTGTGCCCAAGGCTGGCACAGGAAGGCACAGCCTAAAAGGAGGGGCAGACCAGGGTAAGATGACCTCAGAGAGCTTTGATGGCAGCTGGGCTTTCCATCTTCCCACAGGGGCAGCCAACTCTGCTTCCTCTGGAAAATGAGATGTTATCTACACCTACCCATAGAGATGACTCAAACATCAGATGACCAAACACCATTAAATCACAGCGGTCCCCAAGACAGCTGGGGGCACTACCTCCTCCTGTCCTGGCAGGATGCAGATGCAGGATGCAGATGTGGGACTCTTCTCTTGTGTGTGTAGCTAGGAATGAGAAAACCAGGCCTCCACCCCAGGGGAATGGCCAGAGTGTTCAGGGCAGCCCCAGCCCAACTTAGCTAGAAGGCTTCATTTCTGCAAGTACTTTTTTTTTTAAAAAACTTGTTTATTTATTATGTATACAGTATTCTGCCTACATGTGTCCTTGAAGGCCAGAAGAGGGCACCAGATCTCATTAGGTGGTTGTGAGCCACCATGTGGTTGCTGGGAATTGAACTCAGGACCTCTGGAAGAGCAGTCAGTGCTCCTAACCTCTGAGCCATCTCTCCAGCCCCCTCTGCAAGTTCTTAGACCTATTGACAGAGTCACTCCCAGGAGAAGCTCCGCATCCAGGAAGAAGCTTCCTTTCCTTCTCAGATGTCCTTCCTCTAAAACTGAGGAGAGGACCCAAGCTAAGCAGGAGACCTTAGAACAACACACCTACCAATTTCTACAAAGTATCCACCACTGTGTAGCTGGGGTACAGATAGCTTAGACACTTGCCTCTGATGCAAAACTTAAAAGCAAAAATATAATCAAGGTAAGGTGGGCCTAGAGGCACAGGCCTATCATACCAGCTACTCAGGGTGCGGAGGCAGGAGGATCACAACTTCATGGCCAGCCTGGGTTACAGAGAAAGTTCAAGGGCAGTCTAGGCAATGTTTTGTTTGTCAATTTGATTTTGTTTCTAGAAATAGATTTATGGGGGGGGGGAATGTCTTAATGAGTTTGTTCCCAGGGAAGTAAAATGATTAAAAAAAATTGCGCCTGGGCTGGAGAGATGGCTCAGTGGTTAAGAGCACTGTCTGCTCTTCCAGAGGTCCTGAGTTCAATTCCCAGCAACCACATGGTGGCTCACAACCATCTGTAATGCGATCTGGTGCCCTCTCCTGGCCTGCAGGGATACATGCAGAGAGGAAATTGTATACATAATAAATAAATAAATAAATTTAAAAAAAAAAAAAATTGCGCCGGGCGGTGGTGGCGCACGCCTTTAATCCCAGCACTCGGGAGGCAGAACCAGGCGGATCTCTGTGAGTTCGAGGCCAGCCTGGGCTACCAAGTGAGTTCCAGGAAAGGCGCAAAGCTACACAGAGAAACCCTGTCTCGAAAAACCAAAAAAAAAAAAAAAAAAATTGCTTAAGTATATATAAGACATTCAAACCTGAGGTAAGTAATGTTCTCAGTTTTCTATACCCACTTTGCTATATATTGTTTTCAACTACTTGAATGTTCAGGGTGGGAAGAGTCACAGCTTGGGAAATTACTTAAAACTTTCATGTTCGAGAAGATAGAGACATTTGTGCTTATGCTTCCCAAGGACCACTGATGAACACTCTGGACATTACAGAAAACAGGCAGTGCAATCTGTTTTGTGTGGGATCCGTGTCTTTAATCTCAGCACTCAAGAGACAGAGGCAGGTGGAAGTGTGGTAGGCCAGCCTGGTCTATACAGCAAATTCCAGGCCAATCAGAGCTACATAGTGAGACCCTGTCTCCAAACACAGATAAGAAAACTCCGAAAGATAGATTGAAGAGGGACGATCAACCAGGAACCTCAGGCACCAAGGGTCAACACAATGGTGAGTCCCCTGGTTCAGACTTGGGACTGAAGATACCAACCATAAAATGCCAGGGGGCGCAACCAATACAATTTCCAGCAGGAGCTGGGGAGATGGTTCAGTGGGCAAAGCAGCGGCCAGGCAAGCCCAGTGACCTGAGTTTGATCCCTGGAACCCACATAAAGGTAGAGGAGAACCAGCTCCACAAAGCTGTCCTCTGACTTTGTGCAGCGGGGCATGCACGTACAACCCCCAGTAATAACAAAAAGTTTTAAAATAAAAGTTCCAACGAGGAGGGCTGGAGAAATGGCTCAGCAGTTAAGAGCACAGGCTGCTCTTCTAGAGGTCCTGTGTTCAGTGCCCAGCACCCACATGGCAGCTCACAACCATCTACAACCATAGTCCAGTGATCCCGTTAAATCACCATGGCCACATGGTTTCAACTGGAGATTTCCACGAAATGTTTGAAGAAGATTTAGTACCAATTCTGTATCACCTCTACCAGGAAACAGAAGAGCAGAGAGTACTCCCTAGTTCATTTGATGAACCAGACTCAATGGGGAAAGGGCGGATGGGCAAGAGGAAGGGAGGAAGAGGGGGGAGGAGAAGGGAGGACAGAGAAACAGAGGAAGGAGAAAAAATAGATCGTTATTCCTCATGAATATAGACATAAGAATTCTTAGCAAAATATCACTAAATGAAATTTCAGCAATATACCAAAAAAATATATATCCTATGACTGAATGAGGTTTGTTCCAGGAATGTGTCAATATTTGAAAAGTGTTTAGTCTGGCACATGTCTTAATCTCAGCACTTGAGAGATAGAAGCAGACAGAACTCTGTGAGTTCGAGGCCAGCCTGATCTGCATAGCAAGACAGAGCTATCTAGAGAGACTCTGTCTCAAAAAAAAAAGTGATTTGGGGGCTGAAGAGATGGCTCAGCAGTCAAGAGGAAGTGCTGCTCTTGCAGAGGACCCAGGTTTGGTTCCAGGCACCCTCATGGGTAGTAGCTCACAACCATCTGTAACTTCAGTTGGCCTTCATGGTCACCAGGCATGCACATGGTGTATGTACATACATACATGTGCAGGCAAAACACCTACACACGTAAAATAAAAAATAAATCTTTTTTAATTGATTATATAGTTCATCATGTTAACAGGCTAAAGAACAGTCACATGATCATATAAGACAATGTGAAAAAACATTTGACAAAATTCAGCACTCACTGATAATTTGTAAGAGTTCATAGAAAACTAGGAATAGAGAATAGTATCCTCAATTGATAAAAAGTATCTACAACAACCCAGAGCAGGAGTTATACTCATGGTGAAAGACTGAGTGCTTTCTCATTAAGATCAGGAACCAGGATTCCCCCACCCCCACTCCGACAGGGTTTCTCTGTGTAAGCTAAAGTCTTAGCTTTCCTGGAACTCACTTTGTAGACCAGGCTGGCCTCGAACTCACAGAGATCCGTCTGTCCCTGCTTCCCAAGTGCTGGGATTAAAGGAGTGTACCACCACCGCCCGGCAGGAACCAGGAATTTTATTTGTCCTAGTACAGGAAGTCCTAGTCAGTGCAGAAATGTAAGAAAAGCAAATGAACGACATAGAGACCGAAATGGACACGATGAACTCCCCTTGTGAGTAGATGATATGATTGTCTATGTAGAGAATCCCAACAACTACAAACAACAAACCCCTCCCAGAACTACTGAGTGGGTTCAGCAAAGCTACAGGATGTAAGAGAAATATTAAAAACCAGCCTTAGGGCTGGGAATGTAGCTCAGTAGTATGGCAATTTGCCTAGCATGCTTGAGGCCCTGGGTTTCATCCTCACCATATACACACACATATACACACAAACATAAACACACACACAGAATTGTGCTTCTAAATACTAGCATACTAGCAATGAATATATAGATAGTGAAATTAAAATACCATTTTCACTTGCCCAAAAAGGCATGAAGTAGCTGGGTTTGGTAATGCATGCCTTTTTGTTGTTGTTTGTTTGTTTGTTTTTGTTTTTCGAGACAGGATTTCTCTGTGCAGCTTTGGTGCCTTTCCTGGATCTCACTCTGTAGCCCAGGCTGGCCTCGAACTCACAGAGATTAGCCTGACTCTACCTCCAGAGTACTGGGATCAAAGGCGTGCGACACCACCACCCGGCTTAGGTAATGCATACCTTTAATCCCAGCACTTGGGGGGGGGGGGCAAAAATAGGCAGATCTCTGTGAGTTCTAGTCCAGCCAAGGCTATGTAGTGAAACATAGGTATACATTTTTCAAACTATATATAGAAGTTCTTTGAAGAAAACTACAAAATACTGAATAAACAAAGATTCAAATAAGTAGAGAATGCACTGTGTTTAAGGATTGAACAATGGATGGGCAGTGGTGGTGGTGCACTCCTTTAATCCCAGGATTCAAGAGGCAGAGGCAGGTGGATCTCTGTGAGTTCGAAGCTAGCCTTGTCTACAAAGAGAGTTCCAGGATAGGCTCCAAAGCCACACAGAGAAACCCTGTCTTGAAGTTTTGTTTTTTTTTTAAAAAAAAAAAAAAGGATTGAACAATGAAACAGGGAAGATATCTCCATCCCAGACTGGTCTACAGGTTAACAATTCCTAGTAAAAAAATTTTTTTGTAAATATAGACAAGATTATTCTAAAATTAATATAGAAAGACAAAGGAATCAATTACCTCAAGCAATTTTAAGGAAGATTAAAAAGAACCAAATAGGAAGAAGCAGCCAATTACAAGATGTATTTGAACCCTTACGCACAGCTAACAAACCGGAGTGTGGCACAGTTGAGGTACAGACGCACAGATCAATGGAGAGAATGGAGAACCCAGAAATAGACTCTCACAGATCTGCCCCACTGACTCTGACAAAGGCAGAAAGGGATTCAACGGAGAAAAAGAAAGCTTTCTCAACAAATGGGTTTGGAGGCAGTGGATATCCATTGGCAAAAAAAGGAACCTCAACCAAAGTCTCAGGCTTTCCACAAAGATTAACTCAAAATGGGTCACCAACTTTTACAATGTAACTATAAAACTTTTAGGAAACAAAGTAGGAGAATATATTTAGCAACTAGTGTTGAAAAAAGACTTCTTAGGCTTGACATTAATATGTATTAGTTAGTATGATTCATATTAATTAGTATGATTCAAGAAAGAAAGTATTGATAAATTTGACTTAAACAAAAATCTTAATTCTTTTTTCAAAAATTTAAAATCTGATTGACCAAAAACATGTAAAGAAAATGAAAAAGGCAAATTACAGACTAGGGGAAAACATTTACAAGTGCACATCCAACAAAGGACTAGTATGAAGTTCTTCCAAACTTAACAATTGAGAAAGACATTCACTTAGAAAACGGGCAAGATGGCAGGTGGTGGCGCACGCCTTTGATCCCAGCACTCGAGAGGCAGAGACAGGTGGATCTCTGTGAGTTTAAGTCCAGCCTGGTCTACAAAGTGAGCTCCAGGACAGCTAGGGCTGTTACACAGAGAAGGCCGGTCTCAAAAACAAAACAAAACAAACAAACAAACAACTGGAAAAAAAAGAAAGAAAGAAAGAAAGAAAGAAAGAAAGAAAGAAAGAAAGAAAGAAAGAAAGAAAGAAAGAAAGAAAGAAAGAAAGAAAAACTGGACAAGCAACCAGTCAGGACTGCAGGCGGATAGCAAAGCACATGATGTCTGGCTTGTGTGAGGCTTGAGCACAGTTTCCAGCACCAGAAAGGAAGACGGGCACAGGACATGAGCAGACATTTGAATGACAAGGCTGTGCCAAGCAAATGCATGAAAAGATGTTCAATGTCCTCAGCACCAGAAACCTGTGCTACTTCCCAGCTGTCAACAGAGCTGGAATGAGACAGTCTAACACACCTGCTGGCGAGGATACAGAGAAGGCGCTCACACACACATTTACATTCGTACAAATGCCAAGTCAGGACAGCCCCAGCTACTCAGGAGGCCGAGGCAGGAGGATCTCAAGAGCCAACAAGTTTAAATCCAGCCTTGGCAACACAGTGAGACTCTATTTCAAAATAAATAAAATAAGGACACATTTTTCAGTTTTCTTCAAATTTCAAAATAGCTTTGACCTTGACCAGCCTTCCCTGCTAAGGTCTCCTTGACCTGCCCTCAAAAGAACTGGAACCTAAGGTCTGAACTGCAGAGCACACCGTTCTGACAACTCTCCTAGAAAAGGAAACTTTGTCCAGTTCTCCCCCGCTGAAGTCACTCTGATTGTCAGTGTCTGTACCCCGTGAAGCTGCTGAAAAGCCATGGCGCGCTGTCTCCAGGCTTTGAACCTCTAGGTGTGTACCCAGAGTCATGCAGGGCACTTGTTCAGTGCATGTTCAAAGGGTCAGACATTTAACTGGCCCACGTAGGAATTCCAATGAATCCTGAAGCTTGAGGAACGACAGGGCTCACTCTCTGCAATTGGGGTTTCCTGGGGAGGCAGTAAGGGTTCCCAACTGGGACAGTCTCTAAATGGACAGTCTGAAAGGGAAGGAAGGGTTGAGCAGGGACCCCGTGCCAGCCCAGGCTGGGAGCTCACCGCAGTGTTGGGCTCGATCAGGCGGTGCTGCAGTGTCCGGGCGGCTTCCCACTGCCCCGTGAGGCAGAGTCTCTCCAGCTGGCACACCTGGGCCCCTAAGACATTGGCCAGGCCACATATGCTCCCAACAGCTCCTGCCGGAAGGAGATACAGAACATCTGTCAGGGCCACTGACTACGGAGAATCCCAAACTCTGGGCCCGTGCCTTTTCGTTTTGGTAACACAGGATGTAGATTTCTATACTCGTTGGGCCGTGTCATAGGCATGCTCTGTGTTTCAGAGGCAAAGGCCGCCTGATGTTCAGAATGAGAAGTCGGCATGGCAGTTGCTGCTCAGAGCCAGTGGTGGGACAGGAAGCACAGCGTACAGGATAGCCCCTTCACCTACCTCCTACCTGCCATGTCCCCCGATAGGATCTTGACACCCTAGTGGCTGGGCAACTAGGAACTGAAGTTCTGAAGTCCTATTCCTTCAGTTAACTGGGCCACTACTGGTAGGGAGTGGGAAAGCAGCCTGGATGTGGGGTCAGGAGCTTGGTTTGGGAATGTCCTTGGCTTCATGACATGAAACTCAGCCTCTGAGTGTGACTCTAAGATGAGTTAGGAGGGACCCTAACCACAGTGGCTCAGTACTGGAAGAAAGACCAGTATTCAGAAGGACTAGTACTTTTACTAGTTGTAAGATGCCTACCACAGGGCCAGTGAGATGGCTCAGTGGGTAAAAGGTGCTTACAGTAAAGCTTGATGACCCAAGTTCAATCCCAGGACTTACTTGGTCGGAGAGAAACAACTTCCCAAAGTTGTCCTTTGACCTCCACATGTGCCATTACACACACACACACACACATACACACACACACACACACACACGCACGCACGCACGCACGCACGCACGCGCACACACACATACACATACAAAATAAATAAGATATAATTTTAAAAAATGTAATAAAAACAACTTTATTTAAAAACAAAAAATGCTCATAGCCAGGCATGGTGGCCCATACCTTTAATCCCAGAACTCAGGAAGCAGAGGCAGGTGGCTCTCTGTGAGTTCAAAGGCCAGCCTGGTCTACATACCAAGTTCCAGGACAATCAGAACTACATAGAAAACCCTCTCAAAAAATACAAAAAACAAACAACAACACAAAAGAACAAAAAAATTACTTATCATGTGCTGGGCACTGTGGCTGACGGGGCTGGCCCTCTAATCCTCACAAGACCACTTAGTTTTTCAGGGTAAAATGCAGGCCCAGTGAGGGCTGGTGTCTTGACTTGGGTTACTGTGTGAATAAGTGACCTGGTTGAAACCAAAGCTCAGGTGCCCCACCTCCAGAGCCTGTGTCTTCTCCATGTATTCTCAGGAAAGGGCTACAAACGGCCCTCCTCCATCCTGCACTTTAGGGACCAGAGGGTGGTAAAGGGAGATACCTACGACCTTGACCAAAGTCGAAGTGTGCCGAGCCTAGAGGTGATGGGAACCACTGTTGTCTCCCACAGTGCTGAAAAATCTGCTCACACCTCAGCTCACTGATGCTTCTGTTCCTCTGCCCCACTCACCATGGCTCAATCCCAACTGAACCCAAAGACCCTCTCTCAAAACAAACAAGAGCGGCCGGCATTGGTAGGATGCTGGACTGGAAGAGAATCTGACCAGACAGCTAGAGATCCCATCCCAACCCCCTAGGTCTGACAGTTCATTCTGTCCCATGGCTAGAGGCAGAGGAAAGCAGACTCCTGGCCTAGAGCAGAGGCTCCCAGAGAATGATTTACAGGGTGAGATTAGAGGAGTTAATTTTGTCATCGAAGCATGGAATTTGGGACTTTGGACTTTACCAACTGCAGGCATGCCTATAGGGCAGCACTGTACTCACATACCCTCCCCCACCCAAAAGGGCCAAGCCCAAGTACCCAGAATTGAGACAGCTGCTCCCTGCGGATTCAGGCCTTCCCCCCTCCCCGCACCACCCTGTCTCTCCTAGTAGCCCCAGCATCTAGGTACATCTTGGTTGGTCAGGACCCTTTGAGAACAGCAGGAGGCTTACCCACAGCATAGCTGGCCAGGAGGAAGCCGACTGACCCAGCCAACACCTGGAAATCTTGCTTGCTGGTCTTGTGAACCATCAGCCCAATCTTGGTCACCTATCAAAATAATGCAGTGTGAGAGCTGGGCCCAGAACTCAGAGACCAGCCTAGACGGGCTGGGCATGTGCTGTCAAAACATGGCCTAGTACCCAGAGAGATGCCCCAAAGTTTAAGCAGTGCCTCAGGGAGCCCACCCACCAAGCATGGGACTGACAGAGGTCTCAGAGCTACTCTGGGTTAGAGACTACCAGGCTAGAACCAAGGAACGAGGAGGTGGTCCCAGTCTGGGAGCTGCTGCTACTCACATCACCACCACTGTCCTTTATGCCAATGATATTCGGGTGCTGAGACAATGTAACCACTGCATCCACAGGCAGGTCTAGCCCTGTATTGGCTGGGACACTGTACAACACCACAGGGATTGGAGAAAGATCAGCAACCTGGGGGGGGGGGGGGGGCGGCAAGAAAAAGAGGAGATAGCAACTGCCTGAGTCTGAAGGGCTCAATGCTTACCCTCACAAGCCCTGGACTGTGTCACCGCAGGGCTGTGTGACAGCTCTGACTCCTGTAATATGGGTAGCAATGATGGGAAGACTCTGAGTGTTGTCTATACATCAGGCACAGCTCGAAGCTATGTACGCTGCAGATCTCATGTAGCCCTGAAGAAGCACCCAAGGCAGACGCTTTATTCTCCCTTGGTTTTAAAAATTATTATTATTTTTTAATCATGGGTATCTGTGTGGGTATATGCCCATGAGTACTGGTGCCCTTAGAGGCCAGAGACATCTGATCCCCTGGAACTGGAGTTGTATGTGGTTGCAAGCCACCCAACGTGGGTGCTTGGAATTGAACTTAGGTCATCTGTAAGAGCATTATGAGCTCTAAACCACGGAGCCATCCCTTCAGCCCCTATTCTTCCTGTTTTAAAGAAAAGTGATATAGAGAGGTTAGGTAAATGGTCGAATGTCACACAGTTGGTACATGACGGCATTATACTTAGGCCCTAGAGTGACTATTAACATGATGCAGGCTCTCCATTTCAATCCAAGCTTCTCCTTAGGGCTGGCCTCCATCACTGCCAACCTCTGCTTGGTCCTAGGCCTCTACACCACGCCCACCCCTCCTACCTACCTTGGTGTAGTGGTGAATGAGGGCGGCACTGCTCATGCGGCCACGATAGTAAAACGGAGTCACCACCATGGCGGCATCAGCACCGACTTGAGCCATGCTGACGGTCATCTCTACTGTGGCCTGAGTGGCTGAGCGAGGGAGAGGGGAGAAGGCAAGCAAAGAGGGCCTCAGTGCGTCCCGGCAGAGGCAAAACAACAGACAGAAGCCAACCCCAGGACCCAGGAGCCCGGACCCCCCCAACAGCCCAGCAACCCCAGGTCCCAAGGCACTGTGTCCTCACACTCGCAGCCAGAGCCGGCTATCAGGAGCTTGTCCTTGGGTATGGCTTGACGTGCGCGGCTCACCACCTCCAGGCGCTCATGGCTGGTCAGGAATGGAAATTCTCCAGTAGAGCCCTGGACCACGAAGCCTAAAATAGAGCCCCATCACTATAATCCACCCATTCCCACCATCTCAGGAACGGGATGCTGGTATTGCACAATCCTCAGGGTTATTTTCACACCATGGCTTTCCACCCACCCTTCCCATCCCTGTCCCAACATAAATAGAAGGTTCTCAACAGATACACTGTAGTGCACCCACCATTTTCCTTTGGGTGAAACACTGTAACTCTACCAGAAAGAACAGTCTGTAACATAACATGCACCTATGTTCCCAGAGTCCATGACAACCCTCCCCATTACCCTCCACTCAGGCTTTCTGCCCCGACTCAGGTGTTTTATTCTCTTTCATGTCCTTGCAACATATATAAGCACCCATGAATAAGATAATTTATACTTCAGAGAAATGGAACCAGGCTTACATAACCTTCTGCAGTTTGCTATTTTTGTTTAGCGTTGTTTTGAGTTTATCTGCAGCAGAATACAAAGCTCTGATTCATTTGCCCCATTTCTATGCATAGCTCAATTGCATGGTTAGACCACACTTTATTTTACATTCTCTCCTCGAGGATATTCAGACTTCCCTTCTTTTTTGCTGCTGCAAATGATGCTGAAACAACCATTTTCTGGAAAGATCTTTGGTTCTGTCTAGGAATTCCTTTTACGTTCCCATAGGTGTGAGAGCCGTGTCTGTGTGCAGCTTCCTGGATGCCATGCTTACCACTGAGCAATACACACCCCACAGCAGGAAGGTGAACTGCTAGTGTTCACCCATGCCAACTCTAAATGTCCTCAGAACTAACGTTTGCCAGTCAAAGGTGGTACATCTCATGCATTTGTCTTTCTTTTTTGTCACCCTACTGGTTTGATTTTGTTAGAGACGGGGTCTCACTATGTAGCCTTGGATGGCTGGGAACTCATAAAGATCCATCTGCCTCTGGAATGCTGGTATCAAAGACATATGCTGCCATGCCCAGCTCACTCTCCTGTTCTATCAACTGTTTGTTTCAGAGGTTTCTAACCCATATCAGTTAACGGTGCCAACAATTCTATTTCTTTGAAAGCCAAGCAGAACCGACACTCTTGGCAGAAGAAGAAGGAGAGTGTCAGCCCCATCACTCCTCTTGTGCTTTTCCATTGACTTCCTTTTCTTTCTCCTCTCCATGCCTGTGATGGTTAACCTCAACTGTCAATTTGATGAGCTCTAGAATCACCCGGGAGCCAGGCTTCTGGGCATGCCTGTGGGGGATTATTTGATTAGGTTATTTGAAGAGGGATGACCAGCCGCCCACTGTGGGCAGCAGCATTCACTGGGTTGGGATTCTTGACTGTATAAAAAGGAGAGAGGGCCGGGCAGTGGTGGCGCACGCCTTTAATCCCAGCACTCGGGAGGCAGAGCCAGGCGGATCTCTGTGAGTTCGAGGCCAGCCTGGTCTCCAAAGCGAGTTCCAGGAAAGGCGCAAAGCTACACAGAGAAACCCTGTCTCGAAAAACCAAAAAAAAAAAAAAAAAAAAAAAGGAGAGAGGGAGCTGAGCAGAGTCATTGCTTTCTGCCTTCTGGTTGTGGGTGCAAGGTGACCAGCTGCCTCAAGTTCCTGCTTCTGGGAGGAAGTCCTCCAGGACGGACTGTAACCGTAAAAGATTCAGTCAAAATAAACCCTGTCCACCTTAAGGTCCTTCTGTCAGTGTTAAGTCTCAAACCCTGGGACCAAATGGCTGAGGTGCCTATTTAACATATCAAAGTGGACCTGGCCACCATGTTCTCCCAGCATCCCTCAGTCCCTACCTGTTACAGGGGATGGCTGGCATACACTGCCCTCTACCCACTCCCCAAACTCTCCAGCATGGGCCTGAGCTGCCCTTCCCCCAGAAGCTCTTCTCTACAGAATCTAGTCATTCTGGTTACCTACCTCTTTTACCTTTTGCTTTGATGCATCTGGTTCCATTATCTCCCCTTTCCCTTCCCCTCCTCCCTCTCCTCACTTGGCTCAGGGTCATGTCACTCTGGACTCTCCCAGATGTCCCTGCCTCTGGCTATGTTCTTCCTTTTATCTATCATAAACCTTCTCCACCATACCTAGGAGCAGTCATGGCCTTCCCTATTTCTTATTTTTACTCAGTCAGGGTATTTTATCAGTGTCCAGAAAGGTAACAAAGACAATATCCTTCCATTAAAACAAGCAAACAAACAAAACACATCTGTAATCCCAGCACTTGGGAGGTGGAAAGTAGAGAATCAAGAGTTCAAGGCCAGTGTGGGGGAATAAAGGTGACCCTGTCTCAAACAAACGAAAGTCATAAGTAGTTAGCCGGGCAATGGTGGGGCATGCCTTTAAAGCAGCACTCGGGAGGCAGAGGCAGGTGAATCTATGAGTTCAAGGTCAGCCTGGTCTACAGAGCGAAATCCAGGACAGGTACCAAAACTACATAGAGAAACCCTGTCTCAAAAAACAAACAACAACAACAACAAACCCATAAATAATAAATAAATAAATAAATAAATAAATAAATAAATAAATAAATAAATAAATAAATAAATAAGGGAGTAGGAGAAGAAAAAGACAATAAACCTGGGAGCGGTATTAGCATACAAAATCCATGCCATGCAGCTGTGTGTAACAAGCCATAAATTTAATGGGGAGCTTCCGCTGAAAGGGAAATGTGGTCTCTAACAGACACACAGAACCTGAAAGATAAGAGCAAAGCAGCTGCCCTGGAGAAACACAGACTTTCCTGGCCTGAGACCAAGAGAACGTGTTCCTGTGAGTCACCCTTCAGGGGACTCAGCGTGATGGATGGGGACTCTACTTCATACCGCACACCTTTTCCATGCTGTTAGGCTCCACTGCCAGTAGGGCCGCCCAGACCCTTCTCGCCAGACAGTGACTTTTCTTTTCCTTTGTGATGCTACGAGAACATGGTGAAACAAACAGGGTCTGGCTTCAGCCTGATGTCCTGAGGTCAGATCCTCGGGACTGGGAAAGCACAGCCTCTTGTTTGCCTAGGTGAGGTTTCACTGCTTCCTGGGAGTGTCCGACCCCTTTGAAGGAGCTGCTTGCCCTGGTGGGGGCTCCCATTTAGCCAACATTGGACCAACCCTCAACTATTTCAAGACCAAGATGATGCCATTTCTATTTAGTTGCCGAAGTTGTCTGCCACCTCAAGTTGTGACAGGCATATGCTATGGTCCCTAACCCAGCCACAGTCACTCCCAAGTCACTCTTCATCTTGTGCTCAGTTACAGAAGCCCCTGGGCTCCATAGGTGGATCTCAAAGCAGGACAGTAGGGTAGGGTCTGATGCCCTGGGAGGCAGCAGCAGGCCCTCATTCAGTCTCCTGTGAGAGAGCCTCTCACTCTCACCCCCCACCCCTACTTCCCCACCCCTCACCCCACCCCACCCCACCCGCCTCTGGAATCAGGCACTAGACCTATGCCTGACTCTCAAGGCATGCAGGCTGGGCAGTCATTACAACTCCAAGCCTCCATTTCCTTTTCTATGAAATGACAAGTCATTTCAACCCTACCTTACAGAGTTATTTTAAAGGCTCAGCTAGGAAAATGTCCCAGAAAGCACTTCGACATCTGGGGTCGGGTGCTGCAAAAAGCCCCCCCCTTCACCCTGGCTGCACATCCAGTCGCAGGCCCACTATGTTTGTGTCGTCTAGAAAGGTTCAGGTAAGAGGACCCTATGCACCAAGGGTGAGAAAGCAGGGCAGAGCAGTAGGTGGGGTGGTTGGGGCACAGGCTCTTGTCAGAAAAGCCAGGACCAGCTCTCAGGGTGGCCCTCTGACCAACTGAGGTCTTGAGAAAATGGCTTGGCCGCCAGGCATGGAGGCACACACCTGTAACCCTAGCACTCAGGAAGCCAAGGCCAGTCTTGGGTATACAGGGAGATCCTATCTCAAAAAAAATAATTTACAAGGAAAAGGGGGGTTGGAGATGGCTCAATGGTTAAAAACACTTGTCACCCTTCCTGCCCACGTAGGGCAGTTCATAACTGCCTGTGACCCCACCTCTGGGAGAATCCAGTGCCCTCTTCTGGTCTACACACACACACACACACACACACACACACACACACACACACACACACACACACACGAGAGAGAGAGAGAGAGAGAGAGAGAGAGAGAGAGAGAGAGAGAGAGAGAGAGAGAGAGAGCAGACTCACATACACAGGTGTATACAAATTAAAATTTTTTTTAAAAAAGAAAATAGTTTAACCAAACTTTAGCTTCGTTAACTGGAAACCAGAGATACTGGTCTTTTTCTCAAACAGTGACGCTAAAATGAGATACTCTTTGTAAAGTATGTATACCTGTAAAGTATGTATACCTGTAAAGTATGTACACCAGAGCCTGGTGCTATGTGGGTGTTAGGTTCAATCCTTGTGGAGCTGGAAGAAAGTTCACCTTGAAGCAGGAATGTGGCTGGGCTAGATGGAAGAACCCCTCATGTCCCAACCTGTGCAGGAGGAGTCCCTCTCACTGAGGAAGTTGCTCCTGTGGGTGAGGCCTGAGAAGGGTGCTGAGTGGGCCTGGGCTGCACAGGCGACCTGGTGATTTACTGTGCTGTTCAATCTTAGATGGTCTTTTTTTTTTTTTGGTTTTTCGAGACAGGGTTTCTCTGTGTAGCTTTGCGCCTTTCCTGGAACTCACTTGGTAGCCCAGGCTGGCCTCAAACTCACAGAGATCCGCCTGGCTCTGCCTCTCGAGTGCTGGGATTAAAGGCGTGCGCCACCACCGCCCAGCTAGATGGTCTTTTAATTAAAAAAAAAAAAAAAAACCCAGAGCCAGATATCAGGGTCAAAGCTGAAAGATCGGAGGAGCCAGCCACTGCTCTCACCTCTACGAAATCCTCAGCCTACAGAGAGTGGGTTCCTGTTTCCTCACGCCTTATATACCTTTCTCTGCCCTGCCATGTCACTTCCTGGGATTAAAGACGTGTGTGCTTCCCAAGCAAAGGCATGAGATCTCAAGTGCTGGGATTAAAGGTGTGTGCCACCACTGCCTGCCCTCTGTGTCTAATCTAGTGGCTGGCTCTGTCCTCTGATCCTCAGGCAAGTTTATTAGGGTCCACAATATATCACCACATTGCTGTGGCCTAAAGGAAGCACAGTGTCTCCCAGAAGGGTGTCCCTGGGGACTGTTACGGTCCCTTGGTGCCTCATCATCTCTTCCTCCTCGAAAGCATCACCCTGGGATCCCTCTGTGGGTCTCTGGCCAATGAGCCTTTCTCCTCTGGGCTTCCCTTGCCCGTTCTTTTTAAAAATCATGTTCCCTGTTGTGTGCTCACATGGAAAAAGGTGCCTGGAGCCCTTCAATCACTCCAAGGGATCAGGCAAGTTTCCTCACCCTGGCCTCTTCCACACGATGAGAACTGAGAGCAGGTGGACCCCAAAGTCCTCCTTCGTTCTAAGTTCCACAGCCGTTTCCCTGCCTTTCTCCTTAGCCTTCCCCTTCTATTAATGTTCTCCATCCATCCAGACTGGGAGTGTGTCTTGGACACGACTTGCTTGGTTGTGCAAGGCCCTAGTTGGATTCCCAGGCACCACAAAAGCAAATATGTCAGGGTTCTCCCCATCCACAACCACTGCCATCCTCCTGCCTCTGCACAGTAGCTCATGGAGTGCCTTTCTGCTCTGAAGCCAGCAAAGACCTCTCAAAATCTGAGAGGAGGGTCTCAAATCCCTGTCCCTCTGGGCCCTGCAGCCCATAGCATCTTGTTGTCCTACTGTGCGCTCTTTTTGCCTGGCCTGGAATCATTCAGTCGGGGACAGTGGCCCTGCTCATAACCAACACAGACTGACTGAGGTGGGTGTTGACAATCTGCTGTATAAAATATCCTAAACCAGCAGGCTTGAGGCAGAACTTTTTTTTTTTTTTTTAACATGATCTAATTTATAAACTCCCCCTGGGAAGAAAGGCTTGACAAAATGCTTAAGCAATTTCCCAGTGAACTTTAATGGAATTAGGTCTGGATCTGGGAAGCCAGCCACCCCCCAGCTGACTCAGGCCGGACTCTGGTGGCTGGTTTAGCTGCTCTTTGTGTCATTCTTAAGAGTCATCTGATGGTCTTTTTTTCCCCCTCTAATAAAAATGTCCACACCAAAACCCATACTTAAGTGGCCTGCCTCTGGGCCATTTTGCTTACAGCAGGACTGTAATAAAACTTTGACATGTCCTCATGGATTGTCTGCAGGTGTTTCAGCTTTGAATTTTGAAGATGGGAATGGGTTATGCGGAATGCCGATAACATCTTCCTTATAAGCACAAGAAACAGAATCAAGGATTAACACGGGTGCTAGCTGACACAATTTTGTCAACTTGAAATATTTTCTAGTTTTTCTTTCTTTTTTTTTTTTTTTTGGCACAAGGTCTCTTGTTGCCCATGCTGACCTCAACTATGTGGCTGAGGATGACCTTGAACTCATGACCCTCTTGCGTCTCCATCTGACATACTGAGATTACATTTGTGTACCACTGTACCTGGCTGAAACTTAAAAATATATCCCCAAATTGGGAGCTAATTTGAAAATTCACGTAAGTCTTGAGCACCTGACTTCAGATGTCTTTTCTGGGCCGAGGGACGTGGCCTTGAACAGCAGCCAGGGCCTCCATCATTGAGCTGTGTCTCCAGCCCTGTGCTTGTAGTTTCAGTCTTTTCAGACGCCAGATCTCACCACTCCTCGCTTCCTGTGCTTTACCTTTCCCTGTGATTGATCCTATTTTTTTTTCAATGAAATTGTGTTTTTGTCTGTGAGTGGCTGTGAGCATGTGTGGGGAGGTGGGGGCATGGGGGTAGCCTTTTATGTGGCAGTCAGAGGACAATCTCAATGGTTTCTGTTCATCCTGTTTAACACAGTCTTTCCCCTATCCTAGAGCACACTGAGTTAGGCTGGCTGGCCAGAAGCTCCAGGGATCCACCTGTCTCTGCCTCCTTGTTACAATTTTTTTTTTTTTTTTTTTTTGAGACAGGGTTTCTCTGTGTAGCCTTGGCTGTCCTGGAACTAGCTCTATAGACCAGGTTGGCCTTGAACTCAGAGATCCACCTGCCTCTGCCTCCCAAGAGCTGGGATTAAAGGCATGTGCCACCACCACCTGGTACAAAATTTTACGAACTATTTAAAATATGCAAATGTAGGACATTCCTCTGATGGAACCCCTTCCATTAGAAGGAATTTTTTTCTATTTTCCTTAAGTTTACATTTATTCTGCTGAAAAATTCTGTAAATAATAATTCATATACATTTGGGGCAGTGAGATGGTCCAGTGGCTGAAAAGCTCTTGCCACGTTGATGGTACAAGCCTGATGACCTGAGTTCAATCTGTGGAACCTGAAAGGGAGAAATCAGTAGAGCCCTCTTGAGAGATGCTACACGGCCCCCCCACCACCACCACCAAAAGTATTTGCTGACCAGCAGTTTTAAAGCTGACCAGAGATTGAACTCATGGGAAGATAAGACTGGAACAATATATCTGAATGTATATATCCTGGGCTCGGCAAAAAACAGGATATAGGGAGTAAAAAATTTATGTCTCTGTAGATACCCTGCATCCTGTTAGCCATTAGTAACCTCACGCTTATAGTTCAGCCAGTAACTTCAAAGAACTACCTCACTCCTAGCCCCTTCATCCAATCCCCAGATATGTAACCCTCTGCACGTAAACCTTTCCTACATAAACCCCTTGAAGTGAGTACTCGGGGCCGTCCTCCTCCACCCGCTGTGTAGAGTGTAGGACACGGACCAAGCCCGGGCTTTCTTTGCTATTAATAAACCCCTGTGTGCTTGCATCGGATATCGGCTCTGTGGTGGTCTTGCTTGGGGGTCTTGCAACAGGGGCACAACAGAACCCCTTGTAAAGGTGGGAAGAAAAATGACCCTATAAAAATGCCCTCTGACCTCCACACACACATATCATATGCTAACAGGAAGTTTAAAAGTTTAAAATTTGATTCAGACAAATTTACTCTAGCAATGTCCAGAAAACAAAAATACTTCCAGCTGGCCACATTTAAGGTGTTTATGACCTTAGCTATCCTCAATGAGCTGTCCCAGAGATCTAAGGCCTACAAGGTAACCCCTGGTAAATCCATAACAGACTCAAATCTATGTCAAAGATTTACTTGATGCCAAGCAGTGACTTGTTAACCTGTCTAAAGACTCACCAAGTGGCTGCCTGAGTTAGGGGTAGAGGTCATTTCTTACTCTTTGAGACCCAGGAGGAAGGCTCAGGGAGAATGCCAGGCTATTGGGGGGTAAAAAAAAGGTAAGGTGTATATAAAAATGTCAGGGATAAGCAGAGGCAGAGCCTTGTACAGAGTAGAAGAGAATAGGGAGACAAGCACTGGGCAGAGACTAGGGGACTGTGTATGTTTGTGGGGCAGGCTGGATCTAAGATCTCTTACTACGTCACCTCGGAGGAATTTTATCTCTGAACTGCAGGGACCTTATAGGGCAGAATACATTCCTTATGGCTATGGCTTAACACAAAACAAAACATTTACTTAAAAAAAAAAAAACAAAAAAACACGCCGGGCCGTGGTGGCACACACCTTTAATCCCAGCACTTGGGATGCAGAGGCAGGTGTATCTTTGTGAGTTCAAGGCTAGCCTGGTCTACATGGTGAGTTCCAGGACCGCCTAGGCTACACAGTGAGACGCCCCCCCTCACATCTCAAAAAACAAAAAATACAAGTGGTAACTGCAAGCAGTCTGAATATTGGCAGCAGATGCAGTAGTCTGTCACGACTCACGCGGTGGTGACATGACCCATGTGTGTCTCATACAGCTCTATAGCTGTGGACACACGGATCCCCATGGACTCCAGAGATGGCACCAAGAGGATGGGGCCCCAAGTCCCACCTGGATGACTTACGACTTACTCTGCTGAAAGTCCGTCCCTAGACCCCTCCTCCCCAGCACCTGACTTCATCCTGGTCCCTTGGCAGCAGTAGGCAGGTGGGTTTGAGACCCCTGGCAACATCTTAATCCTAGTACCTGAGGCCAGGGGAAACTGTTATGGTCTTAAGTTCAGTGAGAAGGTCCCCAGGGAAGGCCCACTTACAGAACTTCGGGGGACAACACCCTCTCCTCCAACCCTGCCCAGAACTCAGCTGGCCACAGAGCTCCTGGACACAGAATGAGGGCGTGTAGGGCTTTATTGGCTCCAATCAGGCATGTGGAGTCAGTGCGGGGCTCGTGGCTGCTCCTGTGATCTGCCTCATGTCTTCTCTCACGGGTCTTCAGGGCCCTCGGGCTGCTGTAGCTGCCTCCCTTCCTCCCTCATGACGGCAGCTGGGGCCAGAAGTAGGGATTTGGGTGGCAGTCTCTCACCCTGGACCACGTACGCTTCCCCATAGAAGAGAAAACAGGCCTGTGTAGGTGAGCCAGCCCTGCTGGGGGGGAGGGGCACATTGGTTAAGTGGCTTCAAGAGTCATAGATTTGGTGGCTGCGGTTGGGCAGACTATGGCTCTGGTGGCTGGAGTGACCTGGGTGACCCTGGTGGCTCTGGTGGCTGGAGTGACCTGGATGACCCTGGTGGCTCTGGTGGCTGGAGTGACCTGGGTGACCCTGGTGGCTCTGGTGGCTGGAGTGACCTGGATGACCCTGGTGGCTCTGGTGGCTGGAGTGACCTGGATGACCCTGGTGGCTCTGGTGGCTGGAGTGACCTGGATGACCCTGGTGGTTTGGGTGGCCCAGATGACTCTGGTGGCTTGAGGGACCTGGATGACCCTGGTGGCTCAAGTGACCTGGATGATGACCCTGGTGGCTGGAGTAAACAGGATGACTTTGGTTGCTTTGGTAGATTGAATGGCTACGCTGGTTTTGGTGACCATGGCGATTCTGGCTATGGACACTGTGTGTTTGGTTGGAACCAGCTATGGTGGTTTCCCGATGAGTGAGGAAATTCCCTTTCAGCTTTATCTCCACCTCCTCCAGAGCCTTCAGCTCTTCTGGGCTGATGTCCCTGGATTCCACATGGCCGACATGCTGGTAAGTCCCGGCGCGTTGCAGCATGGAATTCGCCAGGTAATGCCCCTTGGCATCGATCTCCTTGGCGCAAGCAGTCACAGCAGCCCATGCAGCATCCTCCATTGATGGGGACTTTCCTGATTCCCTCTGGGTCTCTTTGGTCACCGAGGTCCCAGATACCTTCTGTTTGCTGTTAAAGGCATCTCGGCGCAGAGCCTTGCCCCCTTCTCCATGTGTGGAGGTGAGGGTCTCCATGTGGATGGTGGTGTTGGCCTCCCCATGCCTGTTTTCATGTGAGGGGCCATAGTTGCTGCCATAGCAGTGGGTGGGCAACCTCTCTTCCGAAAGGCGGCTAAAGTGAGATTTGATCCAGCTGTCATTTACTCGGCAGGATTCTGGAGACCTGTCTTCTAAGGTTGTCTTCCTTTTCTTCCTCTGAGCCCACAGCATGAGGCCTCCACCTCCCAGCAAGAGGGCAGTCCCCAGCACCACCTTGCATGATGGTCGCTGGAGGAACTCGAAGAAGTCCTCCAGGGCCCTAGGCCTCACGAAGAGCTAAGAGCACGCTGGGAGTGGCGGAGCCCAGATGGTATGGTTCATGCTTGAAAGGGCCAGAGCCCTGGGGGTGTCTGGCAGGTAGGCCCCCCGCCTCACCCTCCCTAGTATGCCCTCTGACACCTCAGCAATGAACCCCATTGTGAGGAAGGCAGCGGGGGTGGGGGGTGGGGAGTGAGGGGGGTGGGGAGATGGGGGTGGTGGGGAGTGAGGTGAGTTAGCAGATGCAGTAGTCTGTCACGACTCACGTGGTAGTGACATGACCCATATGTGTCATGTCACCTAGTCTGGCAAGCCTTTGTAAGGACTGGGTCTTGTCTCCTGCCCTCAGTGGAAAGAGCGTCATTCAGCTATGAGACTCTTCTGCCTTCTGCTTGCAGCGTGTTCTTTGGCTCTGTTCTGCTCACTTTTCTGTCTTTGGTTTCCCTCGTTCCTCATCTAATGGCCCCCAGAACACAGAGGATAGTGAGTCAGTGTGACCATGACAAACTGGGACCCCCTTAGCTGAACTGGCATCCATCCCTGGTCAATAACTCCCAAAGGACCGGTCTCTGCTGCCAGCACAATATATACCATCTCCTACAGCCCTAGCTCCGTTACGGGAAAAAATGCAGAAAGGAAAGGCCCGAGAAGGAGCTCATTCTGGAACAATATGAGGTCACAATCGAGAGCAGATAGGACAACCATCAGGTCCCAGGGCCTGGGGCCATTCCAGGGTAAGCTACAGCTTGCCTGAGTGATAGCCTGAAGATCAAGATTTTTGTTTGTTTGTTTTTCAAGACAGGGTTTTTCTGTAACAGCCTTGGCTGTCCTAGAACTCACTTTGAGTGTGGGACCATCCCCCACATTTATTTACCCCAGGGACTCTGGAGGAATGAGGAATAAGAGACTTAGTTAGAAATGGTGGGGAGAGAAACAGAGAGATACTCAGGATAGACTCGGGTGGGCCTGGATCCTTATCCACCGGCCCAGAACTTTATTCCAAAGGGCTATTTATAACAATGCCAAGGGGTGGAGCAAAAAATCCAAGTGCTGGGATTAAAAATGTGGGCCACCACACTCAGCTAAGATCCAGATTTTTTGCCCCTGGTAAATAAGCATCATGAAGTTTTGAGTAGGTAGGCTGGCTAGATTCCTGTATAATCCTAAGCAATTCCTATGTATTTGGGGCTAGAAATAGGCCTGGGTTATTATTTCCCTCCCCCTTGCTAGTTACAGTCCAGTGTAGACCTTTACAAACACCTGATACTCAGGCCCGTGGTCCAATCAACCTCTTATGCAGTCCTGCTGGGTACAGCCGCTAGGAAACCTAGTGACTACAACTTTATAAACTAAATTTACCTCAAACCCACGGAAATCAACTAGCTTCTGCCTCCCAAGTGCTGGGATTAAAGATGTGGGCCACCACACTCAGCTAAGATCCAGATTTTTTGCCCCTGGTAAATAAGCATCATGAAGTTTTGAGTAAGTAGGCTGGCCAGATTCCTGTATAATCCTAAGCAATTCCTATGTATTTGGGGCTAGAAATAGGCCTGGGTTATTATTTCCCTCAAGGCATGTAGCACACTCAGAAATGCCCAGATGGTCCTTGAAAAAAGTTGTGTTGTTTGGGACTGGAGAGATAGCTCAGAGGTTAAGAGCACTGGCTACTCTTCCAGAGGTCTTGAGTTCAATTCCCAGCAACCACATGGTGTCTCACAACCATCTATAATGGGATCCAATGCCCTAGTCTGGTATGCAGGCATACATGTAGACAGAGCACTCATATACATAAAAAATAAACCTTTAATAATAATAATAAAAAAAAAAAAAAGCCGGGCGGTGGTGGCCTTTAATCCCAGCACTCGGGAGGCAGAGGCAGGCGGATCTCTGTAAGTTTGGGGCCAGCCTGGTGAGTTCCAGGACAGGCTCCAAAGCTACACACAGAAACCCTGTCTCAAAAGAAAAAAAAAAAAAAAAAAAAGCTATGTCAGAGACAAAGGATAATGAGACTACAACCTGTAGTTCCAGAGAAGCTAGGAAACAGGACGGACTGTAGAGGGAAGTTTCTCCAGTTCGCCCGGGGCCGAGGGCCTGCCTCGCCCAGCAGTTGGGACAAATCTCTCCCACTCCAGGTTCCGCAGCCACTTATAAAATAATCATTCAGGGGCTTATATTAATTACAAACTGTATGGCCTGGAGAAACTTCCCTCTACAGAGGACCCTAGGAGGGACGCATGGATCACCTTGGGAAGGGGAAACAGAGGAGATCTCCATGAGTAAACTGGGGATCGGAGAGATGAGAACATGAGGGAACTGGATGGTGGAGTTGGGGGAGGGATGGAGTGGGAGAGCAATGAAAGAGATACCTTTTGTTTTGTTTTGTTTTTTTCAAGACAGGGTTTCCCTGTGTAGTTTTGCACCTCTCCTGGAACTCACTCTGTAGACCAGGCTGGCCTCGAACACACAGAGATCCGCCTGGCTCTGCCTCCTGAGTGCTGGGATTAAAGGTGTGCGCCACCACCGCCCGGCGAAAGAGGTATCTTGATAGAGGGAGACATTATGGGGTAAGGGACAAACCTGGTGCTAGGGAAGTTCCCAGGAACCCACAAAGACAACCCCAGGTTAGACTACTAGCAATAACTGGCCCACCCTGGTAACCAGATTGATGAATACTCTGTCATCATAGAGCCTTCATCCAGTAACTGATGGAAGCAGATGCAGAGATCCACAGCCAGGCACTAGGCCGAGCTCTGGGAGTCCAGGTGAAGGGAGGGAAGAGGGATTACATGAGCAAGGTGGGGGGGGGGGGGGTCAAGATCATGATGGGGAAATCTACAGAGACAACTGAATCGAGCTTATAGGAACTCATGAACTTTAGAGCAACAGCTGTGGAACCTGCATGGGACCGGACTAGGCCCTCTGCATATGGGAGACAGTTGTGCAGCTGGGTTTGTTTGAGGGGCCCCTGGCAGTGGGATCAGAATCTATCCCTGGTGCATGAGCTGGCTTTCTGGATCCCATTACCTATGGTCGGACACCTTGCTCACCCTTGATGCAGTAGGGAGGGGCTTGGTCCTGCCTCAACTGAATGTACCAGACTTTGCTGTCCCCCCATGGGAGGACTTACCCTTTTGGAGGAGGAGATGAGGGGGTTGGGAGGAGAGCAGGAGGGATGAGAGGGGCATCTGTGGTTGATATGTAAAATGAATAAAAAAAATAAAGTCCATAAAAAAAAAAGAAGCTGTGTTATTTGAGGGTCTGGAAAAATGAGTTCAAGCAGCTCAGTCTCTGTAATGCCAGCTCCAATGGATCAGACACCTCTGGCCTCCTCTGGTGCTTGTATTCAGCACGCCCATGCCCATGTGTAGGCATACATACCTACACAAAGTTAAAAAGTAAATCTTTTTTTAAAAAGTTGTTCAGGCATGGTGGCACACACCTTTAAACCCAGCACTCAGAAGGCAAAGGTAGGCAGATTCTGTGGGTTCAAGACCAGCCGAGTATACAAAGTAAGTTCCAGGACAGCCAGGGCTATGTAGACTCTGCCTCAACCTCTTATCCCCCTCAAAAAAAAAAAAAAATTTGAAATATTTCCTTATTTTTTTTTTTTTGTTGTTGTTGTTGTTGTTGTTGTTGTTGTTGTTGTTTCAAGACAGGGTTTCTCTGTAGCTTTGGAGCCTGTCCTGGACTACCTCTGTAGACCAGGCTGGCCTCGAACTCACAGAGATCCACCTGCCTCTGCCTCCTGAGTGCTGGGATTACAGGCGTGCGCCGCCGCCGCCGCCGCCGCCGCCGCCGCCGCCGCCGCCGCCGCCGCCGCCGTCGCCGCCACCACCACCACCACCCGGCTATTTCCTTATTTTTACACACATTTTACATTATGTGTGTGTTTTGCCTGAATATATGGAGTCAGGTAACCTGGAACTGGAGTTACAGATGGTTGTGAGCCACCATCCGGGTACTGGGAATTGAACCTGGGTCCTCTGGAAGAGCAGCCAGTACTTTTAGTCACTGAGCCATCTCTCCAGTCCCCTTCAAATATAATCTTTAACCAAGTAATAATTGTTATATATACAAATGTTTTTCAGAAGGAACTGTGGTTCACTCTACATGTGGAAGGAATAAGGTACAGCTAGAAGTTTTAGGGGACCTCACCTCTCCAGCCTTGGTGAACTATCCCTGTGAATGTCTACTAACCTCACTGGAAATAACAACTCAAAGTCCACTTCTGAGGCTGTTTACAGGTGTGAGTTCAGGGCCACTGACCCTTCCCAAAAACCCCTCCCTCCAGTCCTTGGCTATAACCTTTTAAAAGTTTTATTTTTATTAAAAGTTTTTAATTAAAGCTGGGTGGGGTGGCGCACACCTTTAATCCCAGCACTCAGGAGGCAGAGGCAAGTGGATCTCTGTGAGTTTGAGGCCAGTCTGTTATACATAGTGAGTTCCGGGATAGCCAAAGCTACACAGAGAAACCCTGTCTTAAAAAAAAAAAATTAAATTAAATATAATTACTTCCCTTTTCCCTTTCCTCTGTCCAACTTTTCCAATGTCTCCTTGATTTACTCCTTCTCAAATTGATGGCCTCTTTTTCTTTATTGTTGCATAGATAGATAGATTATGATATAATAAATCCAACCTGTCGACTCCATGTGTACATGATTTCAGGGCTGACTACTTTGTATTGGATAACTAATTAGGGGGTTCATCCCTGGGAGAGGCTAACTCTCCCTCTCACAAGGGTCAGTAGGTAGCTGTAGTTCTCTGTCTAGGGGTGAGACCCTAGGAGATTTTCCCCTTCCAAGTTAGCATATCTATCAATATTGTCATTGTTCAGGTCTTGTTTAGGCACACCATGTTTGGTTATAACTTTTATCTTATTTAATAAAATTTTAAAGCTTAAGATTACAGAAACCCTTCCTCAAGGCCCATTTTTATAACCATAAAACGCTGTGCACGATATTCAAGTCTGCATTTGGCACAAGGCAGGAAACCAGAAGAGTGGACCCTGTGCTTGCTGTGGTGCTAACACCATTTCTGGTCTTCTTGATCTCGAAGAACTGCTTCTGTGTATGACTGAGAAGCTTTTGCAGAGTTTGAAATTCTCCTAACTACCGTAGACACCCCTTATCTACAAATCAAGACCCACTTGCTCTTTCCCAAATAGCTAACGGCCGTTGGTTTGTTGTAGCTGATCACCAAAAGCAGCCCCTGCTTATCCTTCTAATCTTCCTTATCATTTGTTTTTTGTACGTCAATGGAGTTATTTTGGTTTAGAACTGACATGTATTTTCTATATTGCAAATGGAGGCTAAAAGTTTTGCGTACTCTTTTCATTATTTATTGTGTGTTTTTGGTTGGTTGGTTGTTTTTTTGAGGCAGGGTTTCTCTGTATAGCCTTGGCTGTCCTGGAACTCGCTCTGTAGACAAGGCTGGCTTCCAACTCACAGATCCACCTGCCTCTGCCTCCTGAGTGCTGGGATTATAGGGGTGTCCCTCCACTGCTCAGCTATTGTGGGTTTTTATATGATATTAGATAAGACATTAACTAGTTTGTCTAAAAACATTTCACATTTTGGGGGGACACATGTATCATGGAATGCATGCAGAGGTCAGGGAATGACCTACAGAAGTTGGTTCTCTTCTTCCACCTTACATAGGTTCTGGGGATGGAACTTGAGTCATTAGGCTTGGCAGCAAGAACCTTTACCCAATGTGTCATCTCAACAGTCCCTTAACTTAAAAGAATACCCTTTATTTAAATAATCAGCACAGATTAGCAATACATTAAAAAACAAGATAAAAGTGAGCTAGCCAGGCAGTGGTGGTGCATGCCTTAAATCCCAGCAACCAGGAGGCAGAGGCAAGTGAATCTCTGTGAGTTTGAGGCCAGTACGGTCTACAGAGCAAGTTCCAGGACAGCCAGGAGTACACAGAGAAACTGTCTCAAAAAACTAAAAAAAAAAAAAGCTTAAAAAAAAAAAAGACCTTCACAGCTTCAGAGTGTGCCTTCAAGAATACTGTTTTATTCAGTGTTTACTGAATTGCCAAGGGCAGGTTCCTATCTCTGATGCTAAGTAGCATGTGACATCTGTCTCCATCTGCCCCTGAGCATGGGACTGCATAGTCTATTCCGGAAGGCAAGAGAAACAGATTTAACGTTTTGTTTGCATGCTGGAACCATGATAGAACCCCCGACTCTATGGCCTCTATGCCAGCTGCATGATTGACCATCTTGGGGGAATTATGTTGAGCTCCATGCCTAAGAGCCTGAGGGCTTAGTTCCTGTGAGGAAACTGGATTACAGAGGGACAGTGATTTCTCCGTTGCTATAATAGCCAAAGCAGGAGTCATCTACCTCCAGACACTGGGCTCTTCCTCCCACAGGCTCTTCCTGGTATGTGGTGACCAGAGGAATCAAACACCATCAGGAACCCATAAACCAAATCCCTCCAAAACTGTCCAGGGTACCCCATGCTGGTTGCAGGAGTTAGAGAGGCAAAAGGAGGGTTCAGAGACAATTCTGAACTCCTGGATGGCAGAAATGCAATGGATACAAAAGCCAGTCCTTTGGCCCCTGCACGAGTGTCCTTGATCCTTAAGCTGAAGCAATGTTCTCTCTGAAGCTAAAGATTGTCATGTTTGCTTTAAGGAAATCAGGGCTTAGTCAGACTCCAGGCTACCATAAGCAAGCTCCAGTAGACACGCTGGCCCTGTTCATGTGTGTACCCATAGGCCATTTGTCCCTTGATAAACACTCATATCACCTGAGTACTGAGCTAGGAGGGGGGCTCAGCTAGACCACTAGTCACTGTCACAAAGCAGCTTTGCCACAATGTCACTTGCACTTTTTTAAAAAAAAATATTTATTTATTTATGTATACAGTGTTCTGCCTACATGCCTGCAGGCCAGAAGAGGGCACCAGATCTCATTACAGATGGTTGTGAGCCACCATGTGGTTGCTGGGAATTGAACTCAGGACCTTTGGAAGAACAGCTAGTGCTCTTAACCTCTGAGCCATCTCTCCAGCCCGTCACTTGCACTTTTAATAATTACCATTCCAGGAATCAATACCTTCAAATGTATAGAATTTATACCATGCTTTCACTCACGTTCTTCCAGATTCTCTGGCTACCCCATGATATGGGCATTATCACTCCCATGTGTCATATGGGAAAACAGGCATCCCATAGTAAAGACCATTGGCAAAGCTGTGACTGGAAACTAGAGGCCACTCTCCTAGCCGCTAGCCTGCACCTCCTCAGTCAGTCACACCATTCTCAAAACAACATTTGTTGGAATAGTCTTAGAGGGGGATCCAGCAACTTAGAAGGACGTGTTAGAATCAACAGACAGAGTGGAAGAGGTAATCGGCTAATTCAAGTATCAGCTCAGTTAGGTGTTAGCCAAGTGGCTTTGGACAGTGACCACATCTTTCGGACCCTTGTGTAAAACAAGAGGTGAACCAGGGGCGCCAGCCCACTGAGATGTAGTTCTGCGAGGCAGGCTTGGGAGGAAAGGAGGCGGACACTGGCCGCACTGCCATGTGACCCGGCCGATGCCTTCCCATCAGCAGAGGGCCTGGCAGACAAGGATGTCCTCATTCACTGCCCCACGTGATCCCCACAATAACCCTGGGAGCTGAGAAGGTGCCTCAGGCCTCCACAGCTGGGGAAACAAAGGCGGGTGAGGCTCTGTCCACAGGTCCCAGGGCTGTGTCCCCTCCCTGGATCTGGCTCCCCAACTGCCCTCTTACCTCGGAAGGGGAAGGTGCCCAGTTTATTCAGGTTCTCCTCCAGTTTCCCATAGTCTACCTCTGCGGTGGCGGTGAAAGGGGTGGTCACGGCTGGGTAGATACCGGCAATGTCCACCTTCTTCCCCTTCATATTCCTAGAGATGCCCCTGCTCAACGCCGGCCTCATGGAGGCCCAGATTTGGGGGCCTAACATTTCTGCAGGAGGCCTGAGGCCCAGCTGTCTACAGCCACAGGGGAACTGAGTTTGGACTCCTTTTTCCACTGTTAATGATCAACGGATTCAGTTAAAAATTTGTGTCCCCAACCCACGACTTGTGGACATGGGGGGAGTGCAGCCTAGGGGCGGGCCTAGAGGCTCCACGCAGGCCTTCTTGTCTGCTGGGAAGCAGCTGGAGAAATACCCCAACTCTGGCCTGAAAGAGAGCTGGCTCTTGGGGTTCACACTAAAAAGTGTCTCGGACAGAGCTTGGGCCCTCTTCCCACAGCCCCAAAGCCAGGAGCCACCCCAACCTCCACGCACGCACAGTCTCCAGGCTGATCTGAGCCTGATGGAGCTGATTGGCTGAGCTGGCCTGGCCCCGCCCCACTGTAGCACGCTGCTGTTCAACTGTGGAAAACCACGCCTCCTGTCTACCAGGCTTCTGCCAAGGCCGCCAAGTGTTAGCCCTCTGGTGGCCACACACAGACACACACCTCTTGAGGATGGGGGGCAGAGGATGAGTATACCACAGAGTGAAGTATATCACAATCCTGGCCCAGGGATTAGAGGAGAAAAGTAGGATGATGCAGAAAAAGCAAGGCCAGACCAGAGTAGGGAGACTTCCTAACTCAGGAGTCAAGGGACTCCACATTCCCCTTATCCCCAAGTTCACATCCAGTCTTCGCTCCTACGTGTTCGGACGCAAACACCACAGGTAGCAAAGACAGCACTTTATTGTGTTGAGTCTGTGGGTGTTCCTCCCAGACTGGCTGCAGGCAACTAACTCATAGTAGGGGACTATTGCCCATCTGGGGGTAGGTATTTACTGGGCTGGTACCGGCTGGGGGGTCTCACGCCCACTCCCAGGCCTCTCCAGTCCGTTATGTTCTGATTCTGGCTCAGGATGCTCCAGGGCATGCCGGGTGTCTGCTTGCCATAGCTGGACCAGGTCCGTGGGGGTCTTTCCTGCCTGAAGAAAACAGGAGACTATTCAGACTTCAGCAGCCCAACAGAAATTGCTCTCAGCTACATCAGTGGTTCTCAACTGGAGGCATCTAGTGGGCAGAGGCCTGCGATGCTGTATAACCATCCTACAATGCACAGGAAAGTCCCTTCATTATGAATTGTCCAACTTCAATGCCTGCAGTACTGAACACCCTTTCCACATGCTCCTGCTTTTCTCAATGTTTCTTAGCCTTTCTTGTACCAGAGGAACCTTTCTATGCCCCTCTTTTGTGACTGTTCTGTGGACCAAAAGATAGGCTTGGATCAGAGGATATCTATTCTCAGAACACCTGAGGCCCACCAAGAACCAACATGATGTGTTAGAATGGTCCCACCAACCAAGTGCTTTGACTCTCTTCCAGCTGGACCTCCATGATTGGGCCTGAACACTGCGATCCCCTTTGCCCTACATGGGGACCTTGGGGAAGCCCTCTCACCACCTCTCCTACTGTTTCTCTGAACTTGTGGTCTGGACCTTGACACATAAAGAGAGACCTGGGAAGGTAGGTGATTAGGGTGTCATGGCCAATGGCATGTGTACCTAGGCTGTGGCTGCCCCATGGCCTCTGCAGACCATCCACTAAGCGTCCACAGCTTTAAGGGCTCACCCTACCACCAGCAAGAGAAATACACTCACCAGGTTCTTAGCCATCATGTCGGCCCCATGCAAGAGCAGCAGTTTGATGATTTTGTAGCGGTTGAGTCTCACAGCATCGTGCAGGGCACTGTCCCCTTCCTAGAGTAGGTGTAACACAGAACATGACCCTTGAGGTCACTGGGTGAGTAGGGTTAGAGGAGATGGGCCTTGCTCAGAAGCTGCAGCCCTTGGGTCCTGTGAGGAAGGACTACATGCTCATGGCAGCCTGCGAGTGGTCCTTACACCCACGGTGGCTGAGCAGGGCAGGAAGCTAGCACTCACCCTGTCTTTGGCATTGATATCCAGACCCAGGGAAAGAAAGTGTTCCACAATCTCCACGTGTCCAGTACGGACAGCCACATGCAGGGGAGTGCTCAGTAGCTGTGTGGAGAGGAAGGGGGACTGTTGGCACATGGGTCTGGAATATGGTGTCCTGGGGTGGGGAAACTATCTTATCTCTAGTTTACTCCTACTCCCAAGTCTAAGAGACAAGGCCTGAGCCTTGGATAGGAGACAACGGTACGACATGCCACTATCCTTCTCAGTGGTCTAATTATACAGCTTCAAGGGCTGTGTCCTCTGGCTAGCCTATCATGCTTCCCCTCTTGCCTAGCAGTGAGCTACTACGGTCTACACTCTACTCTTTTTTAAAAAGACAAGGTCTCACTATGTAGCCCAGGTAGCTGCAAACTCTCAGTTCTCCTGCCTCTGCCTCCCAAGTGCTGGGATTGCACAGGAGCACTACTATGCCTAGGTTCTTCTTTAATTAATTGACTTGGGTTTTCATTAGGGTGCTGAGGATTGAGCTAATGGTCTTGTACATGCTAGGCAAGGATGCTACTACTGAGTCACCCTCCCAGCCCATTCTTTTTAATATTTTTTTTTAATGAGACAAAGTCTCACTGCATAGACCAGCCTGGCCTTGAACTTAGAATTCCTCCTGCTTCTGCCTCCTGAGTACTGGAATTAAAAGTGTGTGCTACCATGCCCAGCTTCTTTTTAATAATTATATCAGATGTCATTAATTAAGGGGATGACTGTGATAGACACAGCAAAAACTTCGTATGTTAAAAATTAATTCATTTACAAACATTCCCCTCCCAATCTATGTAGGAATGCCACAAGTTTTACAGCTGAAGAACTGTCTCAGAAGTCAAGGTTGCATGTAAAGAAATGGATGGATAGAAGGATGATAGCTTAATAAGTAAATGAATAAATAAATTGATGGATGGGCAGGTGGATGATGAAGGACGGCATGATGTACAAATCCTGTCTCTTCCCAGGGGACCACACCTCCATGAGAGCAGGTCTTTTGTCTCTCTCTCCTCTCAGCACTTGCTCCCAAGCTTCCTGAAGGACCCTAAGCTTCTCCACAGCCACTCTAGAAACCAGGCTAGCCCACTGCTTGCCTACCACTGGCGTTTCTTGCCATTTGCCCCCCTCCACCCTCCCTGTGGCATCCCGATGTGTGCTGCACCGGGCCCCACAGCTTCACCTTGTCTCTCACGTTGGTGTTGGCTCCTCGGCTTTGGAGGAGTCTCACAACCTCCAGGTGGCCTCCACGGCAGGCCCAGTGCATGGCTGTGCAGTCCAGCTAGAAGGGATGGATGGGACGTAATGGCAGAGCTGTAGGGAAGAAAGCTCCCTGGGGAAAGGTTGAAGTCAAGAAGGCAGAGGACACACACACAGATACACACACACACAGACACACACACACAGACATACACACAAGGGACAGGGAGTAGGACAGACAACCCAGGGCCCAACTAGTCTCCAGGGAGAGTCACAGAGGCAACTCAGGGGGCAGATGGGGCTTACCCAATGTCACAGAACACACAGAGGTAGGATCTGCCCTGACAGGAAGTAGAACTCTACTGATACTAGATCTACTTCTGACCTCCTACCCAACACCTGCCCTCTCACCCGATCCTGGAAGTCCACGGTGGCCCCACTCTCCAGAAGTTTCTCCAATATCTCCATGTGGCCCTCCAGGGAGGCACGATGCAGTGCTGTCCGTCGGAACTGCCCCAAAGAGACTGTCAGGCCTAAGTCCCAGGCCTGAGCCTATATCCCATCAAACCGAGGCCCAGGCCTGAGCCTATATCCCATCAAACTGAGGCCCAGGCCTCACCAAAACTTGGGGCCCATGGGTTCTGTGTTCAGCCAGCTCTTACTCAGACTGGCCTTGAAGTCCCGCCCCGGCACTCCAGCCTCTTCACCCTTCCCCACGCAGCCAGCCCTGCCTTTGTACAGCTGGTGCAGCTGGATGCTCTGCTGCGATGGCTATTCTGCCCTCACTTGCTATGATGTTGGTGATGAACTGCAGCTCAGTGCCATGATTTCCCTGAGCCCTCTTTGCCAAGATGCTCCCCGGTGATTCCTGGGTCTAGGGAGCATTGGCAGGCTGAACTCTGTTTCCCCCAGTGCTCAGCAGGGCCTAGACGCACAGGCCACACCTGATTACTGATTCAAGGAAGGAACAAATTTCCCTCTCTCAAGGCCAGTTTTTGCTTTGGATTCAGGGAACCTTCCTGCCATTATGCAAATCTTTCTATATGCTAATGTCTTCCATGGCCTTCCTCTTGTTTTTTCTTGTTTTGTACTCTTAGCTTATAGGAAATGGGAGAAAAAAGATTAAGACCCTGGAGGCAAAAGAACGGAAAAGATGTGACCTACTATAATACAGAGTGGCCCGAGGGTGGGTGGCCATTGGTAGGCTTGGTCCCACGAGAGAGGTGAGAGCAAGGAGCATCTTAAAAGTGCCAAGAGGCAATTTCAGAGGAAAAAAGTACAACAGGTGACAGAAAAACTTAAAAACAGACGGTGGCCATAGTCGCACATGACATATTTCATGTTATATATTTCCACAGTAGAATAATAAAAATAGGGGCTGGGGTGTGAATCAGTGGTAGAGCACTTGCCTAGCACACACAGTGCCCTGGCACTACAAACGATACTAACAATATTAATACATAATTATAAGCCAGGCATGGTGGTGCATGGCTTTAATCCCAGAACACAGAGGCACAGGCAGGCAGATCTCTGTGAGTTCAAGGACAGCCAGAGCTACACAGCGAGACCTTGTGTCAAAATAAATAAATATAAATAATTGTAAAAAGAAGCACGAGCATGTGCCATGAGAAAGAGAAAGTATCCTATCTCAGCAAGTGCTTTATAATCTTTCCACCCACTCAACACTTATTGAGGCACTCATGGTCCATTTGATCATTACATATTGGGAAGGCAGTAGACCATGTTCACCATAGCAGAATCTGAATCTCGGAGAGACAACAGCCCAGCCACAGGTCCCACAGCTAGGAAGAGGAGACAGAGGATTTCAGCCCAATCTCCCCGGCCTGAGCTCTCTTAATTGGATTCCATTCCTTCATCTCCCATACAGAAACATGTGACATTTGTTATGGAGGTGGTCTGAGCTGGGGAAAGGTCTAAAAAACATTGGGGGGAAATTGTGGAGTGAGGAAGGAAGCATCCACCCTAAGAACATCCATGTGTGTTCTCAAAAGAGCCCAGAAATGGAGCTGATCCAGGACCTGACCCGGGTATGGTGGTGGTCCTGAAGGGGAGGCGTGCACCGGAGGGAGCCATCACCTCATCACAGGTGTCTGCTGAACCTCCATCTGCCAGGTACTTGTCAATGACTTTCATCCTCCCCTCCACTGCAGCTTTCAGGAATGTTTCCTCATCCACGGGGCCAGTCTGCAGGAAGAGCATCCACTCACAGAGACTAGTAGGGAGATTCGGGGCTTCCCAGGCTCCCCCTGCCCACATTTGTCCATCCCAGGACCCTTACGATCTCCTCCGGCTCTGGAGGTGGCTCCTGGGCCGCAGCCAGTGCGTCTCGCTTCTTCTGCTTGCGTTTTTTCCTCAGTTCTATGAGGTTCTGGATCCCACCCACGTCAATGATCTCACGCCGCAGGTCCAGGGATGTCTTGCGCACGCGCTCTTGGCCCTGCATGGGGATGGCACAGAGTGTGGGGAACTCGGATGGGTACAGGAGCTGAGCGGGCAGCGGGATGAGGCAGGTAGGGGTCTGGCTGCCCTGCCACTCTGTCCTGACACGGGTTCCCCGCTTACCTTCACCTTTTGTAAAGCGGGACTCTGCATCCCAAGGCGCTTCTCTTCCTCTAGAACCAGCATGTCCATGGACAGCTTCCCAGGAGCGGCTCTTCGAAGTTTCTGGAAAGCCATTGAAAGCTATTTAAGATTATTTGGTGACAGCTATTGGTGTGGTTTTCAGCCAAGTGGAAGGTTATGAGAAATTTTTGTCAGGGTGTGGTAGTTCACACCTACAATCTCAGCACTCGGGAAACTGAAACAGGAGGATTACTGCACTGGAGGGCCCATCTGGTCCACATAGTGAGTTCCAGGCTAGCTGGTGCTACATAGTGAGACCCTGTCTCAAAACCCAAAACAACAAGAACCACCACAACAAATTCTAGCGTACCTAAGTCTATTGTATAAAACATGTCATATTTCTTTATAACCTACACACATAGAGTCCTATAAACTTTCCTTTTTCTTTTCAAGACAGGTTTTCTCTGGTTAGCCCTGATTGTCCAGAATTCGCTTTGTAGCCTGGCCTCAAACTCAGAGATCTGCCTGTCTCTGCCTCCTAAGTGCTGGGATTAAAGGCATGTGCCACCACCACCAGGAGGCTGTTCTGTATTTTTTCATCTCAATGTTACATATAATGACTAATACAATGTGAATGTTGTATAGTTCTTTTTATTGTTTAGGGGATAAAGACAAGGTGAAAAGTCTGCTCATGTTCATTACAGATACAAATTTAAAATTTTCCAAAGAGCTGGAGAGCTGGCTCAGGAGTTAAGCGCATGGGCTGCTCTTTGGAGGACGTGGGTTTGATTCCCAGCACCCACATGGCGGCTGTAATTCCATCTGTAATTCTAGTTCTAGGGAATCCAACTCCCTCTTCTGGCCTCTGCAGTCACCAGACATGCTTGTGGAGCAAAGATATACATGGAGAAAAATATTCACACACATAAAGTTTGTAAGAAAGTTTCCACCTGGGGCTGTTCGAGTCCAGAGAGGTAGAACCCAAGGATCCAGGAGTCCAATTGGGAAAAATCTCCTTGGGTGAGGTAATTGTGATCAGATGGTAGTTTTTGATCCCCTCCCCCAGTACTGAACCCAGGCCCTGCACAGGCTAGGCAAGAGCTCTACCACTGAGCTACGGCCCCCAGTCCCATCATCTCTTTCCTTCTGCAAAGCCCTTTGGCAATATAAAAGCTTGCCAGTTCTATCAAGAACTGTATTTTCTCAGAAATGTTCAGCCCTGTGAAATCTAGAGCTTGGATGGAACAGCAGCTTCTAGCTTTCGTGATCATGTTGTCATGGTATGATGAGCCTCCTCTCTCCACCTGAAGCTGGTTTTTCCAGGCTGCTTCTCCACTCTTAGTGAAGTTCTGGCACCCCCTTCCTGGAGTCTCCCAAGCAGCTCAGATAGTTGTGAATCTAGGAATAGGTGCCCAGGATAAGGGTAACAAGGTAGGAGGTCGGCTGGGGAGAACTTGCCCCCCATGTGACCCAGGCACCTTGCTCATTTCCCACTGACCCCTGGTGTTAGCTTCTCCCAGGGAGGGTTCTAGGTTTTATTTCTGATGCCTCCCATTTACTTTTATTTTTTGTAGTACTGAGCATGGAACTCAGGGCTTTACATGTCAGGCGAGTGCTCGACCAACTGAGTTACACCCCTCTCCAGTCTCCTTGACTGCCTTTCTTGCCATGTTTATATGATTCTATAATTTGGGGTCTCCCTGTGCTGGCCTCACCTGAAACAATGCTAAAGCTACTGTTGTTTGTGGGACCCTGGCTTGGTGACTGGAAAGCATCCAGAGGGAGGACTTCTGGCTTAGTCACCTGTCTCCAGCATTCACTGTGACAGGGCCTGGCATGTACTGGTTGCTCACCCACTGCTTGTTAAATGAACGGACAAGGAATGAGTGAGTGCATAATGGCATGCAGACTCAGCATCTCTGGCGTCCTGTAGCTCTGGGCAAGGATGACCTTACCTGGTAAGCCACAACCCAAGGCGGCCTCTGTGCCTCTGCTCCTACCAACATGAGGGGCCACAAGCTCCCTGTGAGGCAGGAGGGATTATTTATGGATTGTAGCACCACCCACTTCTTATTCAGGCTGCCTCTGGATTTGTGTTTGTGGGCTGGCAGAGTCTGCACTCAGTGAATGCTTGTGAAATTGGATGCAGGTTTGTGAATCAAAACAAAACTCCCACCTGATTCCACGACCACACTTCAGATGAGAGAGAACGCTTGTGAAGAGCTCGGCCCAGAGGCTGGCTCTGTGGGCGCCTGTGTCCTTGCAGCCCTGTGGCTATATTTGTTGGGTGAATGAATGGAAGAGGACTGCTCTGTGTCCCCTTGTGGAAGGTCCCAGTGTGCTGTGGCAGCACTCCAGAAATGACACAGCAGCATGACTCTCCTGCCCAGCAGCAACAGCCATGTGCACATGCTGGGGGCAGGGGTGAGAAGTGAGATTCCTGGAGGTCCAGGGATGCCCTGGTGCTGTCCACACGCCTCTTTGATAAATCTGAGTCACCTCTTCTCTTAAATGACCACTGCTGAGTTCCTGTAGTGCCCTCCCCCATCCGCCCGCTGCAAAAAACTCTTTTCGGCGACATCAGACCTGTCTCTAATACAAGTCAGATGCCACAACTCTCCCCCACTGTGTAACATTCAGTGGCTCCCCACTGCCCACAGGACATACACCTCTTACCTGGGCTTCTCTAGTTTGTCCTCTGCCTCCTTTCCAACTTACTGTCACACATTCTCGTTACTGCCATACCTTCACCATGAAAACTGCAGCTCCTGTCTCTCTTTTTTTGTTTAGCCTGAAATACTCTCACCACATCCTGACTGCACGTAGTACTCCTAAAGGCCCAGCTCACATACTATCCTGCTCAGAGTAGTCCCAGAAGGCTGGAATGGCACCCACCCTGCTCATCACAATTGTCCCATTTTCTATTTGGCCATTTCTGCCTTCTTCTTAGTTGACTATGCAAAGAAGTGTTAGTTAAAATGAATGCCCACCTTCCTCTGTGCATTGGACTCTAGGCTCTTTTTTTGAGGGAGGCGATATTCTCACCACGTAGCCCACCTCTGCCTTATGGGTGTATACCACCACACCTGACTCGACTGTTTTGAATAGAATTTAGGGCAGGACTAGTCAGTACTCCAGCCCCACTTACTTATCCAAGAGAAAATGCACCTGGTGCCTTCGGCCTCAGCAAGCACTGCCCACAGTCCTGGGTAAGCCCCAGCTGGCCTTCTCCATCTCCCTTCTCTCCTCTTATCAGCTTATTCTCCTGGAACAACTAAACCGTGGAGGTGATCCTACCCTGGCATCCAGGGGACAACTGGGGCGTGTTTGTCTCAGGACCCTCCTGACTTTCCCCGTACAGTGCAGTCTATCTCCTGAAGCCCAGGTGAGTGGGCAGGGTCTTGAGAAGGTCTGCCCCCTCCAAGTGCCTGTTTGAGGGGCTGAAGCCCCATCTCTCACCACCCACAATCCCATCAGGAGCATCCTGGTGTGGAAATGGGCCTGGCTGGGCCCCAGGCAATACCTGCCCAGCATGTTGCCTGCAGCCAGTCCTGCCCTTCCCATGACAGTACAGATGGACTCCTTAACCTGGAGTCCTCCCTCCCCAACACCCTTCACCCTGACTCCCACCTCAGTTTCTTCCTCCTGGGCAAGCCGCTGCTCGATGAGCTCTGTGGCTCTCTGCACTGCCTCGGGACCCTCCATGGTGCCCTCCATGACTGCCTCAGCAAGCCACAGGGCACAGGGGCTTTATAGGCCAGAACACCCACCACGCCCACTGGGCGCCTTTGTCATGAGCTCACGGTCTCAATTCTCCACCTGCGTCCCCCCACCTGTCACCTTCACCTCGGACAGCCCCAGGGAGCATGGGAAACCACTGCCCAGGCCAGGGAAGCTGCCCCTCCCCTAACCTCTGGCCTACGGGAGCCAGAAGGCACAGTGCCCCAAGAGGACAGCTGCAGGAAGGGGTCCAGTGTCCTCAGTGCTGGGAACTGGCTAAGTCTTAGCCAGGGCGAATACGCTGCAAAAAGGACCAACATGTTGCCACTGGCCTGGATGGCAGTGCCACCTGCTGGATACCAAGAAATCCTGTCCAGCTAGTGCCGGACAGGGGGCCTGAAAAAAACCAAGCATGAGCCCCCAAAGACCTGCGTTTCTAGGGGCTTTGGGGACCTTCTCTAGGCAGGAGTTGGAGCAGCTGCTGCCCTCTGGTGGCAGCACACCCTAGTGAAGCATGGCTGCACTGAATAGCATGTCCATTAGCCAGCCATAAACAGACCCCGTCCATCTGTTTGCCTCTTCTTCCCAGGACCCTCAGCAGAACTTACAATGTTGCTTTAAGAGAAGACTCTCGGGAAGCCAGAGCGCAGAGCCAAGGCCAGCTGACAAGGAGTACTATTTAATGCCAGGCTGCCTTGGGCGAAGCTGGCCACACTCCCTGAAAACAAAGAGTACATGGAGGAAAGGCAGAGAGAGACCTGCACTCTCTGAGCTCCACACCTGGGACTTGCAGCCTGCAGCCCTGGGTCACTGTGACCCAGGTTTAACATGCCACTGGACTGCAGATGCCCCGGCTCTGAGCTTCCACAATCGTGAGTGATGCCCCTGGTGACACCTTATCTGAGATTCCCTTCTATAACACACACAGTTCCCCAGAGGAAACCCGAGGAACAGACAGACCCCCGGCCGGCCCTGGCTCACACATTTCTGAAAGCTCTGCTCAGACACAGCAGGGCACAGTATCTCCTCCATCTCCAAGCTGGCACCGCAGGGCAGCAGACGCATAGCTCACGCTGCCTTCTGTGGGCGCTCCTTTACTCTTTCACATGTGCCCCCCATTTAACTGTCCCAGCAACTGCTGCAGGAGGCAGGGCAGGTGGTGCCACCTCCACTTTAAAAAAAGCATAACGCATTCGGAGGTAAAGTGGCTTTTTTCAGGACCCACGGGAACCCAGAGGGGTTGGACCAGGGCCCACAAGAAGGACAGCTCAGGTTGGATGCTCTACTGTGCCCATCTGTTCCCAAACCAGCAGGAGCTCTGGGCTCCACCATGCTGTGGAATGCAAAGTCAAGGACTAGGTGAGGAGGAGCAAAAGGCTTTATTGATAAAATGCAGATGTGTCTGTACACAGGGCCCTGCTGGGGCCATGACCAGGCTACAGAGCCGACCCTGCCTGGGTTACCGTTGGGGATGGCCCTGTGCAGACCACTGCCATAAAGCCTGGCTACCTGGCCATCTGCCTCATCTCTGCCGATTGTGCTGGGTGCAGGGAGAGGCAGAGAGGCCCGCCTCAAGCTCTCCAAGCCCTGGGGCTCACTGGTGATTCCCTCCCCTCCAGGGGACTGGCACTGTGCCCAGGGCAGAGTCATGGTGAGGGACAAAGGGGGGGAGACGGCAATTGCTTCCAACCCTGAGCAGAAAACTGGAGTGAGCACAGTGGTGGCACCAGATGACAGATCTGGGGTCCAGGGTTTGTAGGCCGGCCCCCACGGCACCAACCCGTGATGGAGAATGCCAGTGCCTTTTCTCCGACAAGGTTGGCAAGGCCTGTGTGTGGCAGGCAGCTCTGTGGATCCAGCACCCTGGAAGGCAAGTCCCTTCGTGGCTCACTAAGAGCCACACAGCAGGGTGGCAGGAGGTGCCCCTGAAGAAGACAACGGTGCTAGAAGGCAGCCACAGGCCGGGGCCCTGTGCGCCAGGCCTAGGCCCCACAGCCTGCAGGGGGCCTCCATGGCCTCTCTTCCCAGGAGTCAGCTGGCTGTCAGTCCTGGGGTGGTGGGGGCTGGTTGATGATGACCTGGATGACAAAGTCTTTTTGAATCTTGGTTTCCTGGAGCCGTGTGCGGTCTGTAAGCAGCTTCCCAGAGAAGAACCATCTCTGCCAGGATGGCTCGATGCCCTCCTGGCTGTGCAGCTGCCTCTTGAGCTGCCCCACTGTGTCGGGCAGGCTGGCGCTGAGCCTCACGTCCTTGCCTGTGGAGAGGCGTACTTTCAGGGGGAATTCTCGGCGCACACTGGGGGTGGGCTCAGGGGGCTCCAGGCTCTCCTCCTCTGTGTGCTCCAGCAGCAGGTTCACAGGTGGTGACAGGCAATAGATGGGCAGTTGGTACCGATTGCCCAGCTCATCATAGCATTCACAAAGGGTTCCTGTGGGAAAGGCAGGGCAATCAGTGTAGTCTGGGGACCTGCTGTCATGCACAGAATCCCGTGTCCCCCAAATTCCTATGCTGAAGCCAATTTGGAAGTAATAAGGTTACATGAGTAAATGATAATGTTGGGATAATCTGATGGGATCAGTCTTCTTACAGGGAAAGGCCCCAGAGAACTCTCCTCATCCTCTCTCTCTGCCTGCCTGCCTACCATGTGAAAACAGCAAAGAGGAGAGAACCCTCACCAGAACTAAAAAGGCTGGCACTTTCTCCTTGGACTTTCCAGCTTCTGGAATTTTGAGAAACAGATTTCTAGTGTGTAAGGACCCGTTTGTGGTACTTTGTTACAGGAGATTAACTCACCCACCACAGCTACCTCACAGTCCCCAGTCTTACCCCACAGTCAGGACTCTCTGGGACATCCTTATGGCTAGAAGAACACGGGGCTGGCTCCATCAGTCATTTGTTTATTCAACATTTTGGCTGAGTACACATGCTAGGTGCTGGGCTGAGCCCCAATTTCCTTACTGTTATAATGTAATGCAAGTGGGATGCCTTTACCAAGTCTTGAGCACCCCCTAAGTGCTTGTACTGGACTAGGTGATATTATGCACATCCTGAACAATCCTCTGTGGTTGCAAGAGGCTCAGGTTTTAATGTGAGACAATCTCTGCTCAGGGCCACACAGCTAGGAAAGGTCACAGGAAAGGGCCAGTCAAGACCTAGGTCTGTGACTGGAGTTCTACAACTGCTTTCCCTTCACAGCCTAATGAGGGTGCTAGGAGCTTAAATGAGACAATGCAGCACAAAGTTCCAGATCAGGACCTCAAATGCTCTGAGACCCTAAGTACCTCCAGCAAGCCTTTTGCTCGTAAAGCTTTATATATATATATATAAATTATATATATATATATATATATATATATAATTTATTTATTTTTATTTTATTTGCATTTGGTGCTTTGCCTACATGTATGTCTGTGTCAGGGTGTCAGATCTTGGAGTTACAGTTGCTAGCTCCCATGTGGGTGCTGGGAATTGAACTCAGATCTTCTAGAAGAACAGTCAGTGCTCTCGCTCTCCAGCCCAGCTTGTAGGTTCTATTGGTGTGTTTCTGTCTTCTCATTAGGCAAAAGGGGATCCTGTCCCTCCCTCCCTCCCTCCTTCCTTCAACAGTCTCATATAACCCAGACTGGCCTTGAACTTGAACTTCAGACTCCCCTGTCCTGGGATCACTGGCATGTGCTACCATGCCTGGTTTTGTATCTTGTGTTTCTTGTTCATGCCAGAAAGAGCTGTTTAAATGAACACAACAGCCATACATATATGCATATTCCTTCATCCCCACCAGCTTAAAGAGAAACTACTGACACCTCGTGGCTTTCCTCCACCTCCATGTTAATGAACCCCGACACCCCCAGCCCCTGCTTGCTTACCATGAGGCAAAGTGATGCTGGCTCCATCGAGGATGGCCTGAGCCAGCTCATGGTCATTAGCTTCAGCAGCATAGGCGGCAGCCTTGAGGGCATCCCAGATCTCCTTGCGGCCCTCAAAGGCAGGAGCTGTGTCCCAGAACTCATCTCGCTTGCTCCGCAGCTGCCCATCCGTCATGGGGTAGTCACTCTTCCACTTGAGCCGCTCCTTCTTCAAGGGCTCATTCCGTCCTGGGCAAGACAGACACAGGCTCAGCATCCCAGCGCCACTTAAGCTGTAATTTGCCCCTCGCTGTCCCCGGCCTCTCAGGCACTTTACTGCACTGCTTCCTACGTATTTAGGGCACTGGGACGCTTTCTTAATAGCAAGAACGAGTTAGGCATACGAAATACATTTTTCGACCAAGTATGTTCTTGTCTCTTTTATTTATTTTATATGTGTGTACCATGTGCATGCCTGGTGCCCAAGGAAACCAGTAGAGAGTGTTAAATCTCCTGGACCTGGAGTTAGGAGTGGCTGTCAGCTGCCACGTGGGAGCTCCAACTGGACCCGGGTCCTCTGTTGGAGCAGTAAACACTCAGCCGCTCCCCATCTCTTCAGCCCCCGAGCCAAGCATGTTCTGTAGAGATGTACCATGCCTCATCTTACAATGTCCCTCTAAGTCCATCATAACTGAAAATACTCTGAGACCAAAACACACACAGAGTCTATAATCTACAGACCATCACAGCTTAGCGACACAGTCCAGGCTGAGTGTCAGCTGTTTCCACAGTGGTGGTGACAGTTGCCACCCAGCCTGGGGAGGTGTGGACTGGACATTGCTAGCAGAAGAAAAGATCAAGACTAAAAGCTGAGGTGTGGTTTCTACCGATTGTCAC